GTGTGACCCCCAAAGCAAGACCAACAGAAGTGCTCCCCCCACCCCACGGGGACTCAGTGCGTCTGCTCTCACTTTCCGGGGACCACAGCCAGGACAGAACAAAGGGCCCCTGAGAGGGGCTGTGGTGCGGCTAGTCAGGCCTGCACGGGTCTCTCTGCCTTCTTTCTTAGTCTTGATCCGCCTGGTCTGCGCCATCGGAGCCCAGGATGTCAGGCACAGCCCTAATCACTCACGTGGCGGCTGGAAGTCGGTGCTCGGGGGTCCGCAGCTTAGGGTCGACTCGGGCGCCTCCCATTCCCACACTTGTCCCTGCTCTCACTGGTGGGAGGGCGAGTTGAACCCACTCACTGAATCCCACACGGGGTCCCCAGGACCGGGATCACCACCCAAGGGCCCTGAGTCCTCCTACCGTCACCTCAGGGGGTAGATTTGCACCCATGGATTTGGGGGGAGGCATTTCTGACCACACAGCAGGAGTGGGGAGCTGTGTGCTGGGCTGGGGCTCCTCTCCCTCTATCCTCTGTGGCCCGGTGGCTGGCACAGAAGCGTTCCTCCCTGACACTAAGGGCAGAGACCCCATCCAGGTCAGGCCGGACCCTCTCGGACCACTTCCCCTCTGGACACAGCCGGCAGCTGGGGCTGACACTCTCTGGGATGAATGCGGGATGCGGTTTGCAACCAGCTGGAAACGGCACAAAATACCGCAGAGCTTGGAGAGGGACGAGGCCCTTGCCTTGTATCCAGTCACCCCAGTTTGCTGCATGGCACGACAAACCCCGAACACCACCAGGAGTGCTCCCTGAGACAGAGCGGGGGTGGGCCCGGGAGAGGGCTCGGAGGGCGGGTGTCCGTGCTCTGCAGGCCAGGGCCCAGGTCTGCTCCCTGCTTCTGCGTTCCTCTCCCATTTCCTCCCAGCGCCAGCAGGAGCAACTGCCCAGCACTGAGCCTAAGGACGGCTGGACCGCTGTCCCCCCGACAAAAATTAAAATTAGCCTCCTCCAGAACCTGGGGCAAGCTCAGAGGTGGAGCATCTGTTCTGACGTTTGAGGCCCCAAACTCCTCCCTCCTTGCTGACTGCATGATTCTCAGCAAGAAACACTGCCACTGTCCTCCCATTGTTCATCGATTTGCTCGAGCGGGCCCACTAATGTCTCCATCCTGAGACTTTGTTGTTACTGTGTTTGGCATATTGAATATGTCACGGGGAGCTTGCCAGGTTCTGCCGTGCGGGTGAGATACTCTCGGTAGCTTGCCAGGCTCTCCGAGAGGGGCGGAGGAATCGAACCCGGGTCAGCCAGGTCAGCTGCGTGCAAGGCAAATGCCCTACCCACTGTGCTATTGCTCCAGCCCCAAGAAACACAAAGCTCTATTTTGTGTGTGTGTGTGTGTGTGTGTGTGTATTGGGGGTGTAAAGGGGAGTTGATTTGGGACCCCATCTGGCAGCGGAGCCAGCCAAGGACTATCCTAGGCCTGTGGTCAGCAAGCACTCCTGGCAGTTCTGGAGGTCGAGGGCATATGTGACACCAGGGACCACACTGGGGTGGGTTGCATGCAAGCCAAGAGTCTTAACTAGCTCCTGCACAGAGGCTCTCTCTGCCCTTTAAAATGTTGCTTTAAATAATAATAATAATAATTAATAATAATAATTATAAAGAGGGCTAGAGCAATATAGTACAGTGGGGTCCCCACCCAAAAAAAAAAAATTAAAGTATACATCCAAATAAGCAGTTTCTATTGACTGGAGCGATAGCACAGCGGGTAGAGTGTTTGCTTTGCACGCAGCCGACCCAGTCGGCCCAGGTTCGATTCCTCTGCCCCTCTCGGAGAGCCTGAAGCTACCGAGAGTATCTCGCCCGCATAGCAGAGCCTGGCAAGCTCCCTGAGATGTATTCGATATGCCAAACACAGTAACAACAAGTCTCACGATGGAGACGTTACTGGGCCCGCTCGAGCAAATCGATGAACAACAGGAGGACAGTGCTACAGTGCTACTATTGTGTTCAATGTACCACTTTTCAGCTGTGGAACCTGAGTCTCCTGCAGAAATCACCATAAAACTGTGTCTTTGGGGGGTCTGTCTGGGGGACCTCCCCTCCCCTGTGGTGCCGAGGGGTCACTGCCTGCCCCGCCATCTACGCCTCAGCATGCAAAGCACGTGCCCAAGTGCTCTGAGCTAATCTCCTTGGCCCTAAAATGAGTGTCTTAAAAGAACATGATTTTGAGGCCAGAGCGATAGTACGGCAGATAGGGCACTTGCCTTGCACGCGGCTGACCTGGGTCTGATCCCGGGCATCCCACCCGAGCACCGCCAGGTCAGAGGTGATTCCTGAGCGGAGCCGTGAGTGACCCCTGAGCATCACCAGGTATGGCCCTAAGACAAAACGAAAGAACACAATTTTACCTGCTTCTACTCGCAGAGCTGGAGCGATAGCACAGCGGTAGGGCATTTGCCTTGCGTGCAGCCAGCCCGGCCGAGCCAGGTACGATTCCTCCACCCCTCTCGGAGAGCCCGGCAAGCTACCGAGAGGATCTCGCTCGCATGGCAGAGCCTGGCAAGTTACCCTTGATGTATTCAATATGCCAAACACAGTAACAACAAGTCTCATGATGGGAACGTTACTGGGCCCGCTCCAGCAAATCGATGGACAACGGGAGGACAGTGTTTGTTTTTGTGTTTTATACTTGCAGAGCTAAAAATCTTTAAAGTCAGCGAACTGGCTGGAGAGAGAATGAGACAGGCCATCTGTTGGCATGAGCTTGGGCTGTGCACGTCCAAGGCCCTGGTGTGATCCCCTGCAGCCCATACGGTTCGCCAGCACCGCCAAATGGTCCCCTGAACGCCACTAGGCGCAGCTCTGAGCACAGAGAATGGAGTAACTCCTGAGCACTGCAGGACGTGGCCCCAACAGAAACCCAACACATCAGAGAGCTCAAAGGGTGAGTGCCCATGTTTTGGGTGCGGGAGATGGATCCCTGGCACTGCATGGTGAGTGCCCACGTTTTGCGGGCTGGAGGCGGATCCCTGGCTGTGAGTTTCAAAAGAAAACTGTGGTGGGCTCACGAGGGTTCAGTGGCTGAGAGCCGCCTCCTCAGGCCAGATGACAGCGACAGACGGATGAAGGACCCAGGGAACAGAGAAACAGGAACTGGGCCCCAGGCTGGTCAGTAGTCAGTTTATTTCTCTCTCCTCCCCAGCGCAGTCCGATCTCTCCCCTTACGGCACAACCCTAGTCGGCGCGGTCACAATCGTAGTTATAGTTTTGGTCAGAGTCCCAGTCATCACAGTTCCCTCATCCTAGTTACCTCATAGATCTCAAAGTCCTCTACCTTGTGACATTTTTTTTCCTCGTTTCATCACAGTCTCATAGTCCTCTCCTTCCGGTCATCGCCGTCATCTAGTCCTCCTTCTAGTCCTCCAAGTCCCAAAGTCGCCAAAGTCCCAGTTCTCGTCCTCCCCTCTTTCCCCTGACAGCATACTTACATAGAAACCATGAAGGGTGGGGGTACACATAGGTGAGGCTGGACATTGTCATAACAACAAGTAGAGGTAAAGCCACTCCTTTAGGAGATTAACTCAAGAAGAGAATCTCATCCAAGGTTTCAGCAGTCCAGATTACTAGGAAATTCAAAGGCGGGATTCCACCCAGGGTGTACTGCTTTCTCCTTTCCTCAGCTAGCAATCCATTTAAACAATCATAGTAAATTTACTTCTTATAACATTTCTAGTCGTTTTGTATAAACACAGTAAGAGTTATATTAAGCTTAAAGGGTGGCTCTTCCTGGGGACATCTCAGTATATATCCCAGGTCACAGTCCTCAGGCCAGGTTAGTCTCTGCTAACCCCAGCAGGGCCCTTATTCAGTTACTTCTTTTGGGGGGTCATGACAGAGTTTGTCCCAAGACCGTGCTTTTTTTTTTTTTTTTTTTTTTTTTTTTGCTTTTTGGCAATGCACAGGGGTTACTCCCGGCTCTGCACTCAGGAATCACTCCTGGCGGTGCTCAGGGGACCATACGGGATGCTGGGAATCGAACTCAGGTCGGCCGCGTGCAAGGCAAACGCCCTCCCCGCTGTGCTATTGCTCCAGCCCCCGACTGTGCTCTTATTAGACTTATGGCACTTAGCTTGTCTCCCTTCGATGCCAGGATAGCTTAGAGCTTGCCCTGGGTACATCCAGTCCCTTCGTTTTTTTTTTTTTTTTTTGAATTGTGAGGAACTAAGAGCAACTGAGGCTTAAGCCAAGTAAATATGGATGCGCAGGAGTAAATATTATTTCGGAGTCAATTAACTCCCATGTTACAAAAAGCCTGGCAAGCTCCCCGTGACGTATTCGATATGCCAAACACAGTAACAAGGGTCACAATGGAGACGTTACCGGGCCCGCTCGAGCAAATCGATGAACAACGGGAGGACAGGGACAGTGACAGTTACAAAAGCCTAGCATCAACGGTCTTCCTGCGTCTATACGAAAAGGAAATTGCTAAACCGTGCAGATGACACAAAGGAAAGAGAAAAGCAACATCGGATTATGAGCGCTTGATGGAATTTCAGGGGCACTGTTGTGGGAGTAACTCAATAAACTTAAGCTCCCTGCGGGAGGAGCAAGGACAAGCCAGCGTTATCCAACACTCAGGGGTTATGCTGCACTCAGGAACCAACCCTGGCGATGCTCAGGGGACCATTTGGGATGCAGACCCAACCCTGGGCAGCCACCTGCAAGGCACACGCCCCTCCCACTGTGCCATCTCACCAGTCCCCTGTATCTGCCACTTTCCCCCATGCCCCCCGGTTATCTCGATTTGCCCTCTGCCCGGCCCAGAGAGCTGCCCACTGCTCTCGTGGGGCCCCCGAGGGTGACCCGGGAGCAGCTGGGAGCAGCTGGGAGCCGGGCGGGGCCTCCAGGCCGGGTCAGCGTGTGGCCTTCCCGGAGAAACTACATTTCCCAGGAGCCTCCGCGCGCCGGCGCAGGCGCACTCGGCCGCTGCCGGTTGGGACTGCCGAGTCTGAGACGCACTTTCAGGCGCAATGGCCGCGTGGGGCGAGCGGCTAGCTGGGGTGCGCGGGGTGCTCCTGGACATCTCGGGAGTGCTCTACGACGGCGGCGAGGGCGGCGGCAAGGCGATCCCGGGCTCGGTGGAAGCCGTGGCGAGGTGAGGGGGGCCGCGATGGCCGCCACCGGCGTCAGGGGGTTCGGGTGGCTGCGGACGCGGGGCGGGACATCCGCGGGAGGCCCCGCCCACCGCGGAGCCACGCCCACCCAGGGAGGCCACGCCCCTCCACGGAGGCCACGCCCCCGCCTGGTTACGGAGAATCAGCTCCGTGCAGACCCCGGACCTGGACGCAGCCTCAGCAGCCGTGAGCTGCGCTGTCAGGCGCGGAGGTGACTCTGCCCGGGTGGCAGCTGAGCACTCCGAGCTGAGATGTGCTGTAAGACAGTGAGAGCATCTCAGCTCATTCCATTACTCTCTCTTTTGGTTTTTTTTTCATCTTTTTGGGTCACACCAGAGATGCTCAGGGGTCCTTCCTGGCTCACGCACTCAGGAATTACCCCTGGCGGTGCTCGGGGGACCCTATGGGACGCTGGGGGATCGAACCCGGGTCGGCTGTGTGCAAGGCAAATGCCCTCCCCGCTGGACTATTGCTCCAGCCTCGACATCATTTTTTTAAAAATTTTTTTCTTTTTGGGTCACACCCGGCGATGCACAGGGGTTACTCCTGGCTCATGCACTCAGGAATTACCCCTGGCGGTGCTCGGGGGACCCTATGCGACGCTGGGGGATCGAACCCGGATTGGCTGCATGCAAGGCAAACGCCCTCCCCGCTGGACTATCGCTCCAGCCCCTGCATCATTTTCTTGAGCAAATAATAATTTGAAGGTTGCATGAAGCGAATTCCACGTTTCGGTCTTTGTTAACACGCCAGCTTGCCGTCGTGCCCTCTGCAGCCCCCACTCTTCCACACGAGCCGCCGAGATGGTATAGATGTGAGGGTGTTTACCTTGCAGGTGCCTAGCCCGGGTTTGATCCCTGGCGCCCTCTGTGGTGTCCCAGGTCCCCTCCAGGAGTCATTCTGGAAGCAGAACCAGGAGTACTGCCAGGTGTGGCCCCCAAACAAAACCACAGCAAAACCCCAGAAACTGTACCTGACATCCGTGACCGGCCCCGGGTCGCCTGGCAGGGCTGGCACTTCCCCCCCTCGTCTGGGACCAGGGGTCTGTGGCTGGCAGCCCTGAGCCCAGGGTCCGTGCTGGGATGGTGGTTGGCCGGGCCAGGAACACTGGACGTGGATGGGGTCTGTGGTCTGCACAGGGGAGCACAAGCCACATATGCTTTGGTCTCCTGGACTCTAGCTGGGGGTTTAGGGGGCCTAACTCCCCCTGTGACTCAGTTTCCAGGCACCGTCGTGACCCTCTGGGTACTGCAGAGTTACCCCTCCTGGAGAGCACTGTAACACTGTCCTCCCGTTGTTCATCGATTTGCTCAAGCGGGCCCAGTATTGTCTCCATTGTGAGACTTGTTGTGACTGTGTTTGGCATATCGAATACGTCACGGGGAGTTTGCCAGGCTCTGCCGTGCGGGCGAGATACTCTCGGTAGCTTGCCGGGCTCTCCGAGAGGGGCGGAGGAATCGAACCCAGGTCGGCCAGGTAGGCCACATGCAAGATAAACGCCCTATCCTCTGTGCTGTTGCTCCAGCCCCGCTGGGGAGCAGATCTGTCAAAGCAGGCTGTGCTGGGCAGGAAGGCCCATGAGAGGGCACGTCCGGGCTCCCCAGGAGGACTCAGCTCAGGGTCCTCCTTTGTCTGCTTTGGTGCCTGGTGGGCCCTGAGCTGATGACTCTGTCATGGGGGTGGCCTGAGGCCATGGAGCTGTGTTTGGGGGTAAAACAGGCCCAGAATGGGGGGCAGGAGGTCAGAGCCTTGGGGCTGGCACCGCAGACAGGTCCCTGGTGGAGGGGAGGTAACACAGGTGAGCAAACCCCTCATGCCAGGTCGGCCTTAGAATTGTCCAGAAAATGGTTCTGAGAGTCAGGAGCCGTAGCCCAGCGGGGAGGGCATTTGCTTTGCACGTGGCCGACCCAGGTCCGATCTCCGGGATCCCACATGGTCCCCCCAAGCACCGCCAGGAGTAATTCCTGAGTGCAGAGCCAGGAGGAACCCCTGAGCACTGCTGGGTGTGACCCCCAAAACAAACAAACAAACAAACAAACTAGGGGCTGGAGTGATAGCACAGCTGGGAGGGCGTTTGCCTTGCACGCAGCTGACCCGGGTTCGATTCCCAGCATCCCATATGGTCCCCTGAGCATTGCCAGGAATAATTCCTGAGTGCAGAGCCAGGAGGAACCACTGTGCCTTGTCGGGTGTGACCCCCCCCAAAAAAACCCAAGAAAACAGAGCTGAGAGCTGGTGGGAGTGGGGAACGGGACCATCAGGGTGGGGACCAATATCTCTGGGGGTGCGGGGTGAGCCCTGAGGGGGGCCTGGTCTCTGCTGGAGGTGGGGTCCCCCAGAGATAAAGCCCTGGGGAGGGTGCTTGTCTGGCACGTGGCTGATCTGGGTTTGATCCCCGGCACCCACGGAGTCCCAGAACCTCACCAGAGTGGAAGTAAGGCCCAATACTGCTGGGCATGGCCTCCCTCTAAAAAATAAAAAAATAGATCTGCCACAACCTTCTGAAACAGGCCTGAGACACACACACACACACACACACACACATACACACACACACAGACTCACACACACACAGATATACACACACAGAGACTCACACACACACAGAGATGCACACACACAGAGACTCACACACACACAGACACACATACACAGATGCACACACACACAGACTCACACACTCACAGACACACACACTCATGCACCACACACACACATGCACACACAGGCTCACGGAGACACGGGGACACACAATCTCACAGGCACAGACACACATACAGATACACAATCACCACAGACACCACAAGCACACACTCAGGCATAGCACAGACTCACATGCAGAGGCACACAGTCACACACAGACGCACTTGCATACCAAGACGCACAGTCCCACTCACAGACACACGGGCACTGAGACCATCACACACACACACACACACACACACACACACACACACAGCCACAGCCACACAGCCACAATCACACACTCTGCCCCGGGGGATGCGGCAGGAGGCTGGACAATCTGAATATCCCCTGGGCCCTGCGCCACAGGACCATGTGGAAGGCCGAGCCGGGCTGGTCCTAGTGCCGGAGTGGACAGACGCAGAGAGGCTGGCCCTGGGTTACAGAGTGGACAGGCACTGAGCGGGCACTGTGGCCGGGGCGGGGCCTGAGGCCCGGGGAGGGGGTGGAAATTGCTTTATGGGGCCGCCTGCCGGGGCCCCCCTCCTTCCTTCCTTCCTCCTGTCCTTCCAGCTTCCTTCCCAGATGGGCTCCGTGGCCCCAGGATGCAGTAAAAGTCGCCTTTCACATGCGGATGTCCCTGGCTGGCCTTTGTGCTGGGCCTCCTCTGAATGGCCCCCGGGAGCTCAGCTGTCCTGGTGCCCATAAAGGGCCATGGGGTCCTGATGACCCTGGCCACACCCCCGGGGGGCCTGGGTCAGAGTGGCCCCGGCTCGCAGCCCAGCCCAACCCTGGAGGCCACGTGGACCCTCTGCAGACCCCTCCCACTCACGCTCCCCCGCTGGACGGCCAGCTCCCAAGATGTCCCGCCTGCCACTGGACAGCCCCCCAGGGCTCCCCACCTGCCATCTGTCATTGGACGGTCACTAGGGGCCCCCACCTGTCAGCGGATGGTCCCTGGGGGCCCCCACCTGTCACTGGACAGTCCCAGCCAGTGAGATCTCTTAAGAGTTTTGACTCCGGCTGAGGCGTGCTGAACCAGACAGGCCTCTAAGGAAGCTCAGGGCAGTGGGCGGCACCACCGGGTGCCCCCTCCACCCAGTGTGCCCCCTCGCGCCCCCTCACCCCTGCGCGCCCTCTCGCGCCCGCTCCGTGACTCCTTCCTCTCCCATGACCTGTCCCCCCACTGCGCTTTTTTTAAGTCTCTGTAGCTGATTTCTAGATTTTCCTACCAAAGGCCCCTTAATCATTGTGGGGGTCCCTGGGGGGCCCTGAGGAAAGGGCCCGCAGTGGCCATGCCGCACCCCTAAGCCCTGGGGGTCATCCTGGCCTTCTCCTGCCCCCGGGGTCAGTGCTCGCGGACTCCCTTCAGACAAGAGGCGCCCCTCACCCTGCTCCTCTCCGGGACCCCCCAGAGCATGTGGGCCGTGGCAGGGGTGGGAGCCCAGGTCATCGCCCAGAGTGCCCCCTGGGTGCCACTGCAGCCATGCAGGGAGTTGGGCGGTGCCCAGGCTGTCCCAGGGCCTGTCCTGGGCTACTGCCTCCTCCTTCCCATCACACGTGGCTTCTGGGGGGTGGCGAGGAGGGTCTTGCTGACACACATCCCACGGGTGTAGCCCCACTGCCGTGGCCCTGCGCACTGCCGTAGGGGCCCTGAACCCCGCCTCTGCCTGTGACCCACCCACAAACTGCCTGACGTCCAGACTGGAGGTGGCGGGCGGGGGCATGGTTGGTAAACCGAGTCAGTGGGCAGGTGGGCCAGGCAGGTGCTGCCCAAGCTTCGCTGCTGGGGGTCCCAGCGGGGCGGTGCTGGAGGAGGGAGGACTCACTGCAGGCCGGCACGGAGCAGCCTCCAGGCTGGGCCGTCCAGGGGAAGGAGGATGCCCGGGGGTCTCCCTGGAGGAGGGGACGTAGGCACTGAGAGCGCCTGGGCCTGCCTAGAGGTGGGGCCAGGTGGGGAGAAGAGGGAGCCCCGGGGTGGGGAGGGACTTGGTTCCCTGCACAGGGAGCCGGGAGGGCGGCCGGCGACAGGCTGGCCAAGGTCACCCAGGATGTCCAGCGCCGTCCCTGCCCGCCCGCCCGCCTCCCGGCCCTGAGGAGAGGGGGCCCATTATTTTCGGGTGAGCGCCCCTGGCAGCTGCCGACAGCCAGCAGATGTGTGAGGTCCGAAGTGATTTGCAAGTGACGGTCCACACGCCACGGCGTCCCCGTCACTCAGAGCTGGCCGGCCGCTCTGTCCTCGGGGTGAAGGTCAGTTCAGAGACCTGGCGGGCCGCAGGAAGTGGGGTCCCCCGGGAGGGGGTACAGGAAGTGGTACCCCAGTGCGTTGGCTTTAGGAACTGGGTTTGTCAGGCCAGAGCCCTGCTCTGGTTTTGGGGTACTCAGGGACAGGCCGATACATCCTGCTTGGGCCTCCCTGGGCAGGAACCCCTGGACTTGCCCCCAGACACCTCCTGTGACCCAGCGGGCTTAAGGTTTCCCGGCACTCGGAATTCCGGCGTCTGGGCCGCGGCGGCAGCTCTGGAGACCCCCCAACGGTGGCCCGGGTAGGGCAGCGGGGGCGGGAGGAAGGGGGCGTCTCCGGGTCGTGCCCCCACCCCTCCACTGAGACCTCGCAGCTGGGCCTCCAGGTGGCCGCTGGTCACTGTGTCCTCACAGGGCAGGACTGTTGTCCCTTCGTGGGCCGGCACTGTCCTCAGGCCTCTCCTGAGACCCACTGAATGGCCAGCGCCTTCTTAGACCACCTCAGGCGGGGAGACTGAGCTGAGCAAGGCCCGGGTTCGAGTCCCGGCACCACACGTGGACCTCCGAACCCCCTCCAAGAGCCACCCCTGAGCACAGAGCCGGAAGTCAGCCCTGAGCACTGCTGGGTCCGTCCCCCAGGCCTGGCCACTTAGGCCCCATCTCTAGTTTGTCCACCTTGGGCTTAAACAGAGCGTAGGGGACAGGCCAGAGGGTGGCCCAGAGAGCCGGGCTGTCCACCCTGCGTGTGGGAGACCCGGGTTCAGGCCCCAGAATTGCCTGGTCAGCCACAACCAGGGGCGCGTCCCCCCGCCAAAGAAGGACGTGGGTGTCCAGTTCAGCCCCGAGGAGCACGTCCGGCCCCTCAGCCCTGGGGCCTCCCTCTCTCACTCTGTGTCCCCGAGTGCAGGTGCCCCCCCATACCCCTGTGCCCCCCCGCCCACACACACACACACACACACACACACAGACGCTGGCCTTGGTCAGTGTGGCCATCTCTGCCTGCAGGATGGCTTTATTTTGGCTTTTTGGGTCACACCTGCGATGCACAGGGGTTACTCCTGGCTCGTGCACTCAGGAATTACCCCTGGCAGTGCTCGGGGGACCATATGGGATGCTGGGAATCGAACCTGCGTCAGCCGCGTGCAAGGCAAACGCCCTCCCCGCTGTGCTATCGCTCCAGCCCCATCTGCCTGCATCTCTGGGTACATCTCTGGCTACGGCCCACGAGCTGTGGGACCGTGGGATGGCAGTCGGCAGTCTCTGCTTCCTCGAGCCCCCCTCCCCCTCTCCAGAAAGGCCCCCTGGTTCTTTCCCTTTTTGTTTTTGGGGACTCCTCCCCCCGGCCCGTGATGCTCAGGGCTTCCTCCTGGCTCTACACTCTGGAACCACTCCTGGCGGTGCTCGGGGGACCCTACGGGGTGCCCCGGGCCAGGCAGGGCCAGCGCTCTCCCTGCTGTGCTCCTGCCCGGCCCCAGCACCCTGGTTCCTGTCTCAGGAGCTCGCAGGGGTGAAGCAGGGAGAGACGCCATGCCCCCCTCTACCCGCGCAGGGCAGAGAGATGAGGCCGCCGTGAGGCCACATGGCCGTCTCCATCACGGCTCCGGCTGCCTTGGTTCCCATCAGGAGCAGGGGAAGGGAGGCAGGTGGGGGGGTGTGGCTCTGGGTGGCAGCACCGGCCTTGCCCGAAAGGTGGGGGTTAGATCCCAGGGGCCGCCCCGCCCTTAAAGTGCTCAGCCAGGACTCTCTGTCTCCAGTGCTCGGTCAGAACCGTGGTGACGTTTCTAAGCGTTTTGGGGGCGTAGACAGACAACGGCTCCCCCCACACCCCACCCCCAGCCCAGCGGCCCTCCTGCTCTCCGGCGTCACATCCAGCCAGGGCTCTGTCAGGAGTCCGTCGTCCCCCCGACGGTTCACGGCACAGATGGGCGGCCCGTGTCCCCGCGCTGGGCTTGCTCGCTGTTCTGCGAAGGTCACATCATCATCCATTAGCGGTAATTAGTCCCCTGCGCCCACCCCTTCTTCACGCAGCTGCCCCATTAACTCGGGTCTGACTCACACCTTCCCGGGCCAGCCCGCGCCCCCCCTCCACGGAGAACAGGGGGTGTCATTAGTTACGACGTATTAACTGCCTAATTTCACAACGCAGAGGCTGTCTTTATGAAGGGCAATTAACCACTGAGCGTAATTGATAATTCATGGGCCCCTGATCGGGAAAGACAAATACTACGGAGGGGCTGGCTCCCCCTGCGGGGGGGACCCCCCCAAACCTCCTCTCGGGGCAACCAGCCTGCCAGGGGAGATGTTTGTTTCCCCGGAGTCCTGGCTCTCTGCTGGCCCCCCTTGGGACACCCTCGTGGGGGAGCAAGGACCCTCCGACCTGTTGTCGTTGGGGGGTCCGCGGTGTGGGAGTCTGGGGGTACGGAGGGAGACCCTGCAGACCCCCTTCCTGACCTCACAGGGCCCCGACAGATACAGGAAGCTCACCTATAAGTGGGGGATGGTTTGCACCCTGCAGAGGTGGGAGAAGAAGGGAGAGGCGGGCGGGCGGGGTGCTGTCCCCTGGCCGTGAGGGGCTCCCCGGTTCCCGGGTGCCTTGGGGGGCAGCAAGGCGGCAGAGGAAGGGATCGCATGGCGCCACGCCGAGAGGAGCACAATGACGTGTGTGTCCGTCGGGGCTGTGTCAGCCGATCCTGCCCGTGGCTGATGGACTGACTCCCGGCTGGTTGTGGGGCGTCCTGGGAGCAGAGGTCGCTCGGGCATCCGGGCCGGGGCCTCGGACTCAGTGAAACCGGGCTGGGGGCTGCACTGTGCCCGGCTGCGGGTGCTGTCGGGCGGGTGGGCAGGAGGGCGTGGGCCCAGCGTGGCTGGCGCTCAGGGCCCGGCCTCTCCCGCAGGCTGAAGCAGTCGGGACTGAGGGTTCGATTCTGCACCAACGAGTCGCAGAAGACGCGGGAGACCCTGGTGCGGCACCTGCGGGCCCTCGGCTTCGACGTCAGCGAGGAGGAGGTGACCGCGCCCGCCCCGGCCGCCCGCCAGCTCCTGCAGGAGCGCGGCCTGCGCCCACACCTGCTCGTCCACGATGGTGAGCGGCCCTGTCCGGGAGGGGGGCAGGGCCGGGCGGGGCTTCTGCAGGGGCCAGGTTGCTGCTGTGGCTCCCGGGGGACACGGCCATGCCTGCCCCACACCCGGGGGCCCCAGTCAGGTCCAGAGGACTCTGTGTGTGTGTGTGTGTGTGTGTGTGCGTATGTGTGTGTGCATGTGATATTGAGTGCTGCAGGAATATCATGTCCTGCGTGTGCATGTGTGTGTGTGTGTGCGCTCATGCATGAGTGTGTGTCTGTTACTGAGCGCTGCAGGATTCTGATGTCCTGTGTGTGTATGTGTATGTGTGTGTATGTGCGTGTGTATACATGCTCACGTGTGTGTGTGCACGTGATACTGAGTGCTGCAGGAATACCATGTCCTGTGTGTGTGTACATCTGTGTGTGTGTGTACGTCATACTGAGTACTGCAGGAATATCATATCCTGCCTGTGTGTGTGCACGTGCATGTGTATGTAGGTGTGTGTGTGTGTGTGCACGCATGATATTGAGTGCTGCAGGTTTCTGATGTCCTGTGTGTGCGTGTGTATGTGTGCATGTGCGTGTGTGTGCGTGCTCACGTGTGTGTGCATGTGTTACTGAGTGCTGCAGGAATACCATGTCCTGCGTGTACGTGTGTGTGTGCATGTGTGTGTGTGTGATACTGAGTGCTGCAGGATTCTGATGTCCTGTGTGTGTGCGCATGTGTGTGTGTATGTGTGCAGGAATATCATATCCTGCCTGTGCGTGTGCATGTGTATGTGGGTGTGTGGGTGTGTATGTATGTGATACTGAGTGCTGCAGGAATATCATGTCCTCTGTGTGTGTGTGTGTGTGTGTGTGTGTGTGCACGCATGATACTGAGTGCTGCAGGATTCTGATGTCCTGCGTATGCATGTGTGTGTGTTTGTGTGTGTGTGTGTGTGTGTGTGAGAGAGAGAGAGACAGAGAGAGAGAGAGAGACTCAGCGCTGCGGGATTCTGGAGTCCTGCGTGTGGAGCTCTGTCCTTGCGTGCGTGTGCATCTGTCGGTGCGCGTGTGTGATAGCGAAGACCGCAGGTTCCTCGCGCCCAGCACGCTGCGCCTGACCTCCATCAGCGCAGGCCACTGAGACCCGCTTACGTCCTGGGACTCGTCTGGGTGCCAGACGCCCCTGTGACCCCGCGCTCCCCGCGTTCTGGAAGGCGCCTTCTGCATCCTAAAGAGGGGCGGCTCCTGCCTCCCTGTCCCTCCAGGCTTTCGCCTCCCAGCCCCCGCCACGGGGTCTGTCTTCCCGCCCACCCCTGCGGCCGGCTGGAGGGTCGGAGGGCGGCGGGGAGGGCCCTGGCACCCGGCCCACCTAGATTTGATCCCATTTGGAGCCCGAGCACTGCCGGGACGGGTCCCTGAGCACAGCTGGGGATGACCCCAGATGGAATGAGGGGGTGGGGTGGAGAGAGGGTGGGAGGGAGCTCGCGTGCTCCCTGGGGCCTGGCCGGGCCTCAGGCTTCCCCACACACGCAGGCATCTGTGTGCACACGTGTGCATTTGGCATGTGTGTGTGCACGCGTGTGCATTGTGATTGTGCACATAAGTGTGCGTATGTGTGTGCCTGTGTCCTTAGAATGCATGCAGGTGTGTGTGTGTGCTCTGTGTGTGTGCATGCAGGTCTATGTGTGTGTCCTGTGTGTGTGTGTGCTAGTGGAGTGTATGTGTTCAGGTGCACGCAGGCGTGTGTGTGTGTGTGCATATGCGTGCGTGTACATGTGCCTGCATGCATGCGTGCTGTTGACCTGTCCCAGGGGGTTGGCTGACCTGTATCCGGTTCCTGCAGTTCAGGGCCAGCAGGGACCCCCGTTGGCAGCCTGCACCTGCAGACAGGTGTCACCTCTTGGGTGCAGCGTTGGGGGCTCCCCACCCGAGGCGTTGAGCTAAGGGACCTCCTGGGCTCTGGTGCTGCAGGCTGCTGTTTTGGGGGGCATCTCTTGTCTCTTCCCAAGTTCTCTCAGGGGCACCTTGAGCTCCAGCTGGGAAATGCTGAGAGACTGGTGGGGTACCTTGAGGGCAGGGCACAGGCCTGGCATGCGTGGGCCCCCAGCCCCGGCAGGCGCGGCCCCCATGAAAATGGCCCCAGCCGGGCTGGAGAGATAGCACAGAGGGTAGGGCATTTGCCTTGCACGTGGCCAACCTGGGTTCGATCCCCGGCATCCCATAGGGTCCCCCAAGCACCGCCAGGAATAATTCCTGAGTGCAGAGCCAGGAGTAACCCCTGAGCATTGCTGGGTGTGACCCAAAAAGCAAAAAAAAAAAAAAAAAAAGGTCCCAGCCACCCCGTCGTCTCTCCTGACCAGCGGACTGGTCGGAGGCGGGGTCCTGGTCCTGGGAGGGTTTGGGGGGGCAGCCTGGGACTCCCCTGCCCCTCTCCTGCAGGCATCCGCTCCGAGTTTGACGGGATCGACATGTCCAACCCCAACTGCGTGGTGCTTGGGGACGCGGGGGACGATTTCTCCTACCGCAACATGAACGCGGCCTTCCAGGTGCTCATGGGGCTGCGGGAGCCCCTTCTCATCTCGCTGGGGACCGGGTGAGTGGGGACAGGTGAGGGGGGGTGGGGTGAGCGGGGATGGGGTGAGGGGGGATGGGGTGAGCAGGGATAGGGGGGAGATAGGACAGGGTGACATGGGACGGGTCGGGGGAGCAGGGGAACACGGGCACATAAGAGTCACAGTGCAGCCCACTTCGGAGCTTTATGGAAAGCCAGGTATGAGCCGGTCGTGACGGGGCGACTGAAACCTCATGGGAAGGGGGGGCGTTACCGGCTCGTCCTTCACGCCCTACCGAGGTCCCGAGTTGCCCCCCCCACGAGTGGCTCTCTGGCACGGTCATGGCTCTAGGGTCACAGAAACCAGTCTTATAATTATCTGGCTCTCGGCAGAAATACTTCCAGGCTTAATAAGTAAAATATCAGAAATCCAAAATCGCGCGGCCGGCATCATTTGATTCTTGTAACCAGCTGTAGAAAACAAAATATTTCACAATGCCTTTACAGCAATGTCTGATTTGGGGGGGCGTAAACTCTAAATAATAATGGTGCATCTTTTGTCGGAACAGTGACTCTAATCAAAGTAGATAGAGTGTTAACTAGAATTCATCTGCCTCACAGGCATTGGGAGGGTTGGGAGGGGGGGTTCATTGGGGTTCTTCGTGGTGAAAAATAAGTATTGGTGAAGGGAAATGTGTTTGATAACTGCATGACCGAGACTTAAACCTGAAAGCTTTATAACTTTTCCCACAGTGATTCAGTAAATTAAAAAAAAAAAAAAGTCACAGTGCAGGGGCTGGAGGGCGTTTGCCTTGTACATGGCCAACCCGGGTTTGATTCCCAGCATCCCATATGGTCCCCAGAGCACCGCCGGCAGTAACTCCCGAGTGCAGAGCCAGGAAGAAGCCCTGAGCATCGCTGGATGTGATCCGAAATGGAAAAAAAAAAAAAAAAAGAGTCATGGTGTGTTGGGGGCCAGAGAGACGGCATAGCCCGTAGGGCGCTCGCCTCACATGTGGCCAGGTTCGATTCCCAGGATCCCGTAAGGTTCCTGCGTGCAGCGCCAGGAGAGAGCCCCGCGCATCTCTGGGTGTGGTCCCCCCAAGAGAGGTTCCCTGCCTTTCCACCGCCTGCAGTCCAGGTGCCAGCTGGCCTCTGCGTCACCCTCTGCCCAGTGGGCCTCACTGCCCCCACCAGTAGCTGCCTCCTTCCTTGTTTCTTTTTGTTTCCTGGGGGACACACCCCACAGTGCTCAGGGCTCACTCCGGGAGGGCACCGGGGACCCTCAGCAGTGCCGGGAAATCCCTGGCTGCATGTAGGGTAAGTTTCTTACCCACTGTATTATCTCTCCTGCCCCTACCTCCTTTTTAAAAAATAAAAAAAATATTTTTTTTGCTTATTTGGGTCACACCCAGCGATGCACAGGGGTTACTCCTGACTCTGCACTCAGGAATTACTCCTGGCGGTGCTCAGGGGACCATATGGGATGCTGGGAATCGAACCCGGGTCGGCCGCTTGCAAAGCAAACTCCCTACCCGCTGTGCTATCACTCCAGCTCCTAAAATATTTTGTAAAGAACCATGCTTTACAGAGTTACTAAGAGTTGAGTTCTAGACATAATATTCTAGCACAAATCCCCCACCAGGGTTAGCCCTACCTCCTGATTCTGGTTTTGGAGCCCGTCCCAGAGGTGCTCAGTAAGTGCTCTTTTTTTTTCTCCTTTTTGGGGTCACACCCGGCGATGCTCAGGGGTTACTTCTGACTCATGCACTCAGGAATAACTCCTGGCGGTGCTTGGGGGACCATGTGGGATGCTGGGAATTGAACCCAGGTTGGCAGCATGCAAGGTAAACGCCGTACCCGCTGTGCTATCACTCCAGACCCTAGCAAGTGCTCTTGATTCTGTGCTCAGGGGTTATTCCTGGCGGGGCTCCAGGGCCCATATGCCATGCCGGGGACTCGGCTGCATACAAGGCAAGCATTGGGCCCTGCACTGTCTCTTCTGCCCAAGTCTCTGTCCTAACCCATTTCTGTGCAAACTCTCTTTTGGGGGATACGGGGTTTCCTGCTCATCACTGCTGGCCTGTTGCTAAGACCGCTCTGGTCTGACTCTGGGCTCTTGTTGGCCCTTTGGGCCATGACACCAGCCCCACATTTTCTCTCCCTTGAAAACTCTCATTATTCCAGATCCCGGTCCATGGTTCAGAAAGATTTGTTGGTGAGAAAGAAGAAGTGGCCCCACTTAGCCTTTTTTTTTTTTTTTTTTTTTTTTTTTTTTGCTTTTTGGATCACACCCGGCGATGCACAGGGATTACTCCTGGCCCTGCACTCAGGAATTACTCCTAGTGATGCTTGGGGGACTATATGGGATGCAGGGAATCGAACCTGGATCAGCCACGTGCAAGGCAAACACCCTCCCCGTTGTGATATCACTCCAGCCCCCCCACTTAGCCTTTAGTTCTGCTTCCTGCGTCCTGGTGAGAGGAGGTGTGTGTGTGGGGGGGGGGGGGCCCTGGCTTGGGCCAGTTTGGGGCACCCAGAGAGGGGAACCAGCTGCTTCTGGCTCCGGGTTCTGACGCAGGGGACCTGGGTCTCGTGCGTGTGGGGGGGCAGCAGGCCGGGTCTGCTGGGCGCCGCGTCCTCGCGGGGATGGGCTGATTTACATTTGGCATCTGCTGGGACCCGGAGTGGGAATTGCCTTTGTAATTTCTTCTGTCATGCGGCTGTCAGAAAATTAAGCTGTTTATGCGGCAGCCTCGGGAAGGTTAATGGCTCTGTGGGAAAGGGCAAGTGGTCATTTGGAAGGAGGCCGGGCGGAATTACCGGAAGGGGCCGGAGAAGGAGGCAGAAAATCTCTCTGACTGCATCTCCTGGTCCCCTCTGCCGGCTCCCTCTGACGAGCGAGAGAGATGCGACCCCCCCAACCGCCCCCCCCCCGGGCTGACCGGGTCTTCCTGGGAACTCCCGGTCCGCTGATGACGCTCTCGGCAAACAGCTGACCGCTGCGTGCCTTCTCGCTTTCCTGAGGGAGAAACGGAGTAAAGGGGGTGGGGGGGTATTGCTCCAGGCAGAGTCACCCTTTTCCCGGGACCCCCAGGGAACGGGCAGGAGCCCGGGAGAGAAAGCAGCGGCCAGGCCCCTTCCCGTGCGCGCGCGTCTGTCCTGGCCGGACACCCCAGTCCGGGCAGCGCTGAGTCGGGGACACCCGGGCGGCACTGCCCCGGGCATTGGGCGGTTTGCTTTCTGCAATGCGCGGGGCTGACTCCTGGCTCTGTGCTCGGGATCATTCCTGGAGGTGCTCCGGGGACCCCGAGGGGTGGCAGGGCTGGAACCTGGGTCGCAGCCGTTTTCCCTGTGACCTGTCCCCTCCCCATGAGAGGCCCCCCAGCACCCACCACAGCTTGGTACCCCTCATTCCCCTCTGATGGGAAGCAGGAGCTGCTGGCCTGAACTTGTTCCCCCGACCTTTCGCGGGGCGCCCTCCCCTGCAGCTCCCGTGGTGCAGTTCCTTCTCGGGGGTCCCCCCGGCCCCCATTCCCGTTTGCCCCCCTCAGGTGGGGCGCAGAGCCTGGGCTGTCCCTGCCTCCCACGCCATCTGCTCTCGGGGACTCTGCGCACTCCTGCTCCCCTTAGCCCGAGTCGGGGGTGCCCAGTCCTGCAGAGGGGAGTGGGCAGTAACCCCCGAGCATGCATGTCTCCCCCGCCCACGCCCCCCTCCCCCGCAGTCACCGCTCCCGTGTCCTTGACACTTGACTTGGTGAGGGATTCTCCCCTCACCTCGTCCCCCGATCGACTCTAGAGCAAGTGCTAAGGACCCAGGGCTGCGGGCTGCTTGGGTATGCAGGCATCAGGATGGATGTGGGAGGGATGCAGGGAGGGATGCAGGCAGGGATACAGGCAGGGATGCAGGCAGGGATGCAGGGAGGGATGCAGGGAGGGATGCAGGCAGGGATGCAGGGAGGGATGCAGGGAGGGATGCAGGCAGGGATACAGGCAGGGATACAGGCAGGGATGCAGGGAGGGATGCAGGCAGGGATGCAGGGAGGGATGCAGGGAGGGATGCAGGGATAGATACAGGCAGGGATGCAGGGAGGGATGCAGGCAGGGATGCAGGGAGGGATGCAGGGAGGGATGCAGGCAGGGATGCAGGGAGGGATGCAGGGATAGATACAGGCAGGGATGCAGGGAGGGATGCAGGGAGGGATGCGGGATGGGCACTGGGATGGATTTGACCCAGGGTCCCCGTCTGTCGTGGCAGCAGGGTGGGGTCTATCGTAGCCCAATCCCGTGGCCTGGTGGCCAGACTTGGCTCCCGGCCGGCAGGGCCACTCCTGGGCTGCCCAGCCCCTGCCCAGCTCACTGCCCGCCTCCTCTTCCAGCCGCTACTACAAGGAGACGTCGGGCCTGATGCTGGACGTGGGGGCCTACATGAGGGCACTCGAGGTACCGTCGGGCCCCCCCCCCACACACACACCCCGAAGCCGCAGGTCTTGGGGGAGGGGCAAACGTGTGTGCCACCTCCTGCCCCCCACACCCACCCTGGGCCTGGCCCCCGCCTCTCTGACCACTTCTGTCTGCTGACCCGCCAGCCGCACCAGGCCTCCCGGCACCCCCAGACTCTCTGGGGTGGGGTGGGGACCCCCAGGTTCTCACCCCTCTCCCTAGTGAGGCGGAGGACCAGCAGGCGCCGTCTTGCCTCCGGGAATGCCCCTGACAGTTGGGGGTTGCAAGAGGCACCGTGGAGGAGCCCGAGTGTGTCCCGGGTGGCCCCTGGGCAGGTCACAATGGCGTTTGTATCTGACATCCCTGGTCCAGCTGTCCATGCGGGGTCAGGGCCTCCCGGCGGGCAGCCCACGCCTGTCTCCTCTCTGCAGTACGCCTGTGGCATCGATGCCCACGTGGTGGGGAAGCCGTCGCCCGAGTTCTTCCAGCTGGCCCTGCGAGAACTGGGTGTTGGGGCCCACCAGGTAAGCAGGCTGGGGGTTGCCGGGAGGGGGGGGCCCTGGAGCCTGGGTGGGGCGGGATGGACCCCACGGCTGGGGGTCAGGGGGGGTTCTCTGCTCCATTTAGAATAATCCGGATGTGCGTGCTTCAGGGCAGCGCCCTTGGCGAAACCATAAGTGGACAGTCTGTGGATTAAGAATTGAGAAGCTCTTCCTGGGTCGGTGGGGACGGTACCTGCCTCACACAGAGCCACCTGGCTGTCCCCCCTGGGCACCGCCAGAAGAGACCCCTGACCACAGGGCCCTGGCACAGTCGGGCGTGCCTCCCCCAGTAAGTCACAAAACATCGCATTTTCCCAGGGGCTCCTCAGTGCTGGGCCTGGGTGGCCGGCAGTGCTTGGGGACCTCCCTTCCAGCCGCCTCCCAGCCCCCAATTCAAAAGACCTTTTTATTATGGAATGTTCCAAGGATCCGGGCAGGTGGAGAACATGACACAGTGATCCCCGGGGGCCTCGCGGGGCTGCAGGGGGTCGCCGGCTGCTCCCCCCTTCGAACTCTTCTAGTACCATGTGGGGGTCCGACTCCTCCACTCGGCTCTGGGGTTCGCTGGGCGCCCTCCATTAGAGGTGGTGCTGGGGGAGGGCAGTGGGGCCTTCGGACAGGCAAGGGACCCCTGTGACAGGGACAGGAGCAAGTGGTCAGCGCTCCAGTACCTGGTAGTCAGTGGTCAGTACCTGGGATAGGAACTGGGTGCTGAGGGGCCGGAGCAGTGGCACAGCGGGGAGGGTGCTAGCCTCATGTGCTCTGACCCAGGTTGGATCCCCGGCACCCCAGAGGGGCCCCGAGCCTGCCAGGAGCAACCCCTGAGCACCGAGCCAGGAGTGAGCCCTGAGCACTGTAGGGTGTGGTCTCAAAAACAAAAACAAACTGGGGCTGGAGCAATAGCACAGTGGGGAAGGCGTTTGCCCTGCATGCGGCCGACCTGGGTTCGATTCCCAGCATCCCATAGTGTCCCCTGAGCACCGCCAGGAGTAACTCCTGAGTGCAAGTGCAGAGCCAGGAGTAACCCCTGTGCATTGCCGGGTGTGACCCAAAAAGCAAAAAAACAAAAAACAAACAAAAAGAGATCAGATCAGGAGGGGCCGAGGCCTGTGCTTAGAGTGGACGGGCGTGGACGGGCATGGACGGGTGTGAATGGGCGTCCTCAGCGGGGTCACCAGGCTCTGCTGCCCAGGGCAGGATTCTGGCTTCAGGGTCGTGCCCAGTCTGGAACCCTCGGGTGGGGGAGAGTGTCCATGCAGAGGCTGTTGGGGGGCCCTCGCTTCTCTCTGACTGGCGGCCCGTCCCCAGCTGAGTTCGCATCCAGGCCCCTGAATGAAGCTGCCCTGGGCTCCTGCCGCCCCCTGGAAAGATTCTTTTTCTTTTCTTTTCTTTTCTTTCTTTTCTTTTTCTTTCCTTTTTTCTTTTTCTTTTTTTTTTTTTCTCCTTTTGGGTCACACCAGCGATGCTCAGGGGTTCCTCCTGCTACATCAGGAATCACTCCTGGCGGTGCTCGGGCCACACATCGGATGCCGAGGATTGAACTCAGGTCAAGGCAAACGCCCTCCCTGCTGTCCTCTCGCTCCGGCCCCGCTGGGAAGATTCCTGCAGGAAACGCTCAGCTCTTCCTTTTCCCAAACATTTTCTCCTTAGAGCTGTTTCCATTTTTTAAAAGTTTACTTGGTTTTTAATTTATTTATTTATTTATTTTTTGCTTTTGGGTCACACCTGGCAATGCTCAGGGGTGTCTCCTGGCTCTGCACTCAGGAATGACTCCTGGCAGTGCTCAGGGGACCATATGGGATATGGGATGCTGGGAATCGAACTTGGGTCGACCGCATGCAAGGCAAACACCCTCCCCGCTGTGTGATCGCTCCAACCCCCTTGGTTTTTAATTTGGGGGCCACACCTGACAGCACCCGGGGGGCTTCATGACGCAGCCACTGACTCTGTGCTCAGGAGTGCTCCCCTGCAGGCAGTTGCGGGACTCATACCCACAGCCAGAGCCTGCAGGCTGCTCCTGGGGTCAGAATACCGACCTAGGGGCCGGAGGAGCGATAGCATAGTGGGGCGGGCGTTTGCTTTGCACTCTGCTGACCTGGGTTCGATTCCCAGCACCCCACATGGTCCCCCAAGCGCCGCCAAGAGTAATTCCTGAGTGCAGAGCCAGGAGGAACCCCTGAGCATCGCTGGGTGTGACCCAAAACAAACAAAGCAAAAAAGAATACAGACCTGCACCCTCTGCCCCGACCCCTCCGCAGCTGCCGGTGAGAGGGAGAGTGAGTCTGAGTTCCCAGAACCCCCGAGACTCTGGGCACCCCGGGAAAGCATGCCTGCACCTCGGCCGTGCTCCCCGCACCCTGAGCACTGTGGGTGTGGGGCTCCGCTGAGCCGGGGCTCGCTGGCCCGCACCCAGACCGGCTCTCAGGGCTGCTGCTCTGCCCTGGCGCTCGGCAGCCCGCCTCACCCGGGCCGCTCGGGGACGGGGGGCCCAGGCTGACAGGTGGGGCTCTTCATTTCCCCCGACGGCACCCTCTTGACCTCTATCTTCTTGCCAATGATTTTTTAAATCCTAAACGATTCGGCAATAATTGCTCCTCCTTGCCTGGTTATTGCCCTTCACCGGCAGTAAATGCGCGCGCTCCCCTGGGGCCCGCGGCCACTCGGTATGCGGTATGCGGAGCGACCGCCGCCAGACGGCCTCGCCGCCCCCCACGCGCCGGGCGCACCGGCCCTTCATGCAGAACCACAGCTGCTGTCCTTCCCCGGCCTGGGGCGTGGGCTGCCCGGCCCCGTCCCGCCGCGACCCTGCTCCCCAGCGGGGTGGGGGTGATGCACGTACAGGCCTGTGCGCACACAACACACACAGACATAGGCCTGTGCACACACGCGTACACAACAGTGCACACACAAAACACATGCACACATCCGTGTGCACACAGAACACACAAGCAGCACACCTGTGCACACAACACATGTACACATATACATGCAAAAACCTGTGCACACACAAAATACACCTGCAGTGTGCACACACACACCTATGCACACACAAACACCTGTGCGCACACAAAACACATGCACACATCCGTGTGCACACAAAACACAAAAAGAGCATATCTGTGCACACAACCCACGTACACATATACACGCAAAAACCTGTGTACACACAAAATACACCTGCGCGTGTGCACACACATACCTATGCACACACAAACACCTGTGCACACACAAAACACGTGCACACATCCGTGTGCACACTGAACACACAAACCACACCTGTGCACACAACCCACATATACACGCGAAAACCTGTGTACACACAAAATACACCTGCGCGTGTGCACACACATACCTATGCACACACAAACACCTGTGCACACACAAAACACATGCACACATCCGTGTGCACACTGAACACACAAACCACACCTGTGCACACAACCCACATATACACGCGAAAACCTGTGTACACACAAAATACACCTGCGCGTGTGCACACATACACACCTGTGCACACACAAAGTGTGCGCACACCTGCACACACACACATACACACCTGTGTGCACACACATATACACACACATACACCTGTGTGCGCGCGATTTTTTTTCCTCTGGGGCTTGGAATCCCCGTGATGTCATGGGGATCGGGGGATCCGTTTGATGTCCAAGAAACTGGTGCCCACGGACGGGGTCTGGGTTGGAACCCGGGAACGTTCTGAAGCTGATGGCTTCAGGGTCACTGGGCTGGCAACAAAGTAGCATGTTGGGGCTCATGGCCGACACCCACCACGGGCCCATGGGCGTTTGCCACCTCAGGGGCGCCCGGCAGCTTGCTGGACACAAGGATGCAGCCTCGGGGCCGGAGGGTCAGTGCATGACCGACATGCTCTCGCTGTCCAGTCCACCCACCTTGGGAGGACCCCTCATGCCTCGGATGCCAGCTGCAAACTCACCTCCTTCGCATCCCCAGTGAGCACCCAAGCGTGAGCACCCACCCAGGCAATGCTCAGGGCTCGTTCCTGGCTCTGCACTCGGGGATCACTCCTGGTGGGCTCAGGGGACCCTGTGTGGTGCCAGGGACGGAACCCGGGTGGGCCGCATGCCGGGCCAGTGCCTTCCCCGCTGTGCTCTCGGCGCCTTTCAGGTTCTTCCTGACCAGAACCGCCCCCTGCGGTCTCCACTGCCCACACGCTGTTTTATTTTTAACTCTGTTTTGGTTTGGGGGTCACGCCTGGCTCTGCGCTTAGGGGATCACTTCCCTGCGGGCTCAGGGGACCCTGTGGGATGCCGGGGGTCGAACCCGGGTCCGCTGTGTGCCGGGCCAGCGCCCTCCGCACTGTGCCGGCGCTCCAGCCCATCATGCCTTTATTACTCACGGGTGCCCCCGTCGCTCTTGCCAGGCCGTCATGATCGGGGACGACATCGTGGGTGACGTGGGCGGGGCCCAGCGCTGCGGCATGCGGGCCCTGCAGGTGCGCACGGGCAAGTTCAGGTGAGCCGGGGGGCGGGGCTGGGGCAGCCTGGAGGCGGGTCCTGGGTGCCCCCACGAGGACTGGGTCCTGGGGTGGGGGGGCAGGCACCTGCTGTTCTGCCAGAGCACTGGCCGGTCTGGGGAGGTGCCGGGCCTGTGGGCGTGCTGGCACGGGTGCTCTTAGCCATGGGGACAGTCACCTCGGGACCCTCCGGCCGCACCGTCTGCGTCATCCCCAGCTGCCGTGCTCTGTGCTGGCAGGCCTGGCTGGAGTGCGGCTGGGGTTCAGCACTGCCTGCTGAGCCATCCGCCCCGACCTGACCCACCTCTCCTGACTGGGACTTGGGGTCGGAGGTCTGGGTGTGGGTGGGGGCGAGCAGGAAGTGGCTGCGTCATGAAGCCCCCCCCAGTGCTCCGGAGACCCCCGGGCTTGCTCCCTGGCTCCCAGCGGGGGAGATGCCCCCCAGGCTCTGTTCTCCACACGGGGTGGCTGGCCAGATCCTCGTCTTCCCCCGTGCCCTGAGCATGCGGGCAGGGGCCTGACCCGGGCCTTGGTGCGGTGTCCCAGAGGTGACGTCCTCGGTGGCACCTGCTTTTGAGGGCCCAGGATGGGGGGACCCCGAGGGGTCTGGCCGGTGCTGCTGCTGGACTGTCTCTGCTGGGCCCTCCAGGCGCCCCCGGGGCTGGCCAGTGCCCTGTGACAGGCGGGTCTGGGCATCTGCGTTGCCCGAGCACGCGGGTCGCGTTGGCGGCCCCCTCCCCTTTGTCGCAGGCCCAGGCAGAGTCCACACAGCACCCGGCGGCACCCAGGTGTTTGCCCTCCTTGGCTGCGGGTGGGGAGGACGCAGAAGTCCTCTTCGAGGCATGCGTGGGAGAACCACCCCGCTGCCCGGTGGAGGTCACGGCGGGTGCTGCCGGGGTCATGGAGGTCACAGCTGAGCTCGGATGCCCGAGCTCGGGAACACCAGACCCCACCCTTGGTGCCCTGTGCTCTGGGGGTGCCCTCCTCCCAGAATGTTCTAGCAGGTCCCTCTGTTGGCCGTGGGGCCTGCACTGCCCTGTGCTCCCTGCAGATGGCACCCTCTGCGCACCGCCTGACTCGGGGCCTGGCAGGAGTGGGGCATGTCCAACCAGGGGTGGGGGGGGGCCGGGGGTCTGGGGCTGGCCCTGTCGGCCCGGGCCTTTGTCGGTGGCCCAGTCTGGCTTTAGCTGAGTTCTGGGCAGAGAAGGGGGTGGAACTGGGGGGAGGCCTGGAAAGGGAGGAGGCCGGGGGTCCCGAGGCACCTCAGGGTGGCCCCAGGCTCGTTTCTGGGCTGGAGATAGGCCCGGCAGGGGGCCTGGCACCACCACATGAGTCCCGGCCGTTGGTTGAGGGTCCTGAGGGCCGGTGTGGCCTCAGATGCACCCCACTGCACCCGTCTCCACCCGCTGGTGGACTGTGTCTCAGCCCCTGCCCGCTGACTGCAGCCCCCCACCTGTGTCCCCAACTTTTCTGCCGCCCATGGGCTCTGCACCAGGCTCCTGCAGCCTGGCTGGGGGCAAACCCCCCGGGCGTGCCCTGAGGGGCAGAGGGAGCGGGGCCTGGGGCCATGTGAGCAGGCCCTACCCTGCCCTGCCCTGTCCTGCCCGAGGGCCTCCAGGCCTTCCCCCCCCCCAGCCTTCAGAACCCCAAGACCCCGCGGTGGCTGGCTGGCTGGCAGCCTGCAGCTTGGGTGCCGCGGGCTGCTTTGGACGCCCTACGCTGGGGGTTTAATTGGGGCATAATTGGAATCCATATGCCTGTCCGGGTAATTACAATTAGAAACCTAATAGAATCCATAGATCAATGGGCCCGGAGCTAATTAAGGCGCTGTAATGGCACTGGCAGGAAACCTCGCAGCTACCATGTCCCCCCCAAGCAGCCCGCCCTGTGGGTCTCCCCGTGGCTCCAGTGGACGCCTGCAGGGGAGGGAGCCCTGGGGGACAGCAGAGAGGGGTCTGCTGCCCTCACTCGGGGACGGAGGGTCCCTCTGGGGTTTCCTCACCTCACCGCCTGGCCACCAGGGACCAGCCTCACTGCCCAGGAGTCCTCGGGCTCCCGGACCCCTCGGCCGTGGGGCTGGGTGGGCTGCCCCCTGCAGGACTCGGGGAGGCCCCTCCAGGCTGGTGCTCGGGGCCACTGTCCCGTACGGCCCCCAGACCTGCCCCCCTCTAGGGTGCTCCCCTTAGAACCCAAGGTGCTCCCCCCGGCTGGCTGCTCCCCCTTTTCTGCTCCCCTGACATCCGTGAGACTCAGCGTGAGGGAGGAGGGGAGGGCAGGGCCCACCCGCTGGGTGCCCGACACCACCAGTGCAGAGGGCAGGTGGCGAGTGTGAGTCTGTCCTTCCCCGCCTGGGTGGGCCGGACAGTGGGTCACAGCACCCAGCAGGCGGGGCAGGGGGCCTTGGGCGGGGGCGGGGGGTACCCGCAGGCCGGGAGGGACCGTCGGGGTCCTGCCCCGGGAGCCCAGGCTGAGGTGCTGAGTCGGGGCCCGTTTTGGGGTTCCCTGGCAGAGGCTGGCGCTCGGCGGGTCAGGCTCCCTGGGTCTTCCCACGCGTGGAAGGAGGGTGAAAGCTGCCACCCGAGGGCCCCGGGGGGCCCCTTCCCTGCAGGGGTAGCTGCGGGGCTGCTGCCCACTCTCCGCTGGGCGCAGGACCCTGCACAGCCTCTTGTCGGCCTGCCCCTCCGGACCCTGTCCCCAGCGGCCATTCAGGGAGGATGCTTCACCCGGTAGCCTCCTGGGTGCCACGTGTGGTTAGTATATGAATTATACCACCGTGGCTGCATGTCGGTATGTGTGTATGTGTGTGTGTGTGTGTGTTCATGCGTCCATGTGTATGTGTCTGTGTGTTTGTGTTTGTGTGTGTTCATGTGTCCATTGTGTGTGCTTGGGTGTGTCTGTGTTTGTGTGTGTGTCTGTGTGTGTGTTCATACGTCCATGTGTATGTGTCTGTGTGTTTGTTTTTGTGTGTGTTCATGTGTCTGTCTGTGTGTGTTCATGTGTCCGTGTGTGCATGTGTCTGTGTTTTCATGTGTGTGTGCTTGCATGTGTCTATTTGTGTCTGTGTGTGTGCTTGTGTGGGTCTGTGTGTGTGTTCATGTGTCCGTGTGTGTGCTTGTGTGTGTCTTTGTGTGTGTCCGCGTGTGTTCATGTGTTCGTGTGTGCATGTGTCTATGTTTCTGTGTGTGTGCTTGTGTGTGTCTATTTGTGTCTGTGTGTGTGCTTGTGTGGGTCTGTTTGTGTGTGTGTCTGTGTGTTTGTGTTTGTGTGTGTGTGCTTGTGTGTCCGTGTGTCTGTGTGTGTGTGTGTGTGTGTCACCCTGGGCGTCGAACCCGCCACGGTGCAGGAGCAGCTCTGCTGGGCGATGTCCCTGCCTCTTCGTTTTCCTGCTGATTCACGCGTGGGCCTGCCCGGGCCCCGTGCTCCGGCCAGCCCTGCCCCAAGCTCTCACGCGTGTTGCTGACGTGGTTACAGCTCTCGGTCCCTCAGCCAAGAGGGAACCAGGCCATCCCCGGCTGGTCTGCTCACTACTGCTCTGTCCAGCCCAGGCACCCCAGACCCAGCGCGGCAGTGGTCACTTGGGAACGAGGAAGACGGACCGCACAGGGAGACTCCGGGCGAGGCCATTTGCCGGCCCGATGTCCCGCTGTGCCATCTCGGGTGTGTGCGGTGTGGTCACAGGTGCCACACAAGGTGGGCAGTGCTCGCCTGACACAGCCAGGCTGGTCTGGCGTCCGGCACCCCATCCGTGCCGAGACCCGCCGGAGTGACCCCTGGGCACAGCCCCATAACCACAGCGTACGCGTCCGTGGCTGGGGGCTCAGCTGGCTGGGGGCTTCCCTTCCCGCATCTGAGGCCCCTGCCCACCGTGTGTGGCCTGACCCCAGGCCCAGCTTGTCTGCCGGGCACCCGGGGCTGAGGCCCTCTCGCGCCTGGACAGCTGGACAGCCGTGTCGCGTCTGGAGCCACTCACAGCTGCTGGGCCACCTGGGCCATGAACCGGACACCCCAGCTGCCCTCCTGGGGGCCGGGGTGGGGGGGGGGGGATTCAGGGACACGGTTGGAATCTGCCCGACGGCTGGATGCAGCTGGAAGGATGCCCCAGGGGCCCCGGAGGGCGCGGCCTCTGCATCTGCCCATGGGCGGACAGGGCCTGCAGTGTGGTGTGTGTGTGTGTGTGTGTGTGTGTGTGTGTGTGTGCGCGCGCGCGCTCAGCCCTGCAGGGCCTGATTCCAGCAAGGCGGGCCGTGAGGGTGGGGTCCGGCCCGTGCAGGGCCCCTGCCCTCAGAGGCACCCTGCTTCCACATGGCGCGTGTGGAAGCCCCCCGCTCCCAGTGCTCGCCCTGCCCCCTCTGAGCTGGGGGTGGTCCCACGCTCTCCAGGGAAGTGTGCCCCTGGCCTGAAGAGGCCCCTGGGGCCTGGGCCGTGTCTCCCCTCGTGACCAGCAGGTGGCGCTCTCTGCAGCGTCTGTGGAGGCCAGGGTCAGGGGCCCGGCTGAGACAGGCCCTGTCCCCCACCCGTAAGCCCAGGCCATGGCCATGGCAGCCCCCTGGGCCCCCAGCTCTGCCCAGTCCTGGTGAGGGTGCCCCACGCAGCACCCCAGTGCAGTGTCCCCCCCATGCCTTTGGGGTCCTCAGCAGAGTGGACAGCCCTGAACCCTCCCCTGGGGCAGGAAGCCAAGGTTTGTGGTCACCTCGGCCCCAGGCCTATTCTCAGAGCTCCGGCCCCCGGGGGTCTCCTGCTCGGGACTGAGACGGTGTCCCTGGGACGCGGGAACCCCAGGGTCCCAGGGGGCCTGCCCCCACGTCTCCCCTGTGCGCCCACAGGCCCATCCATTCAGGCCAGGGTGGGCAGCGCCAGGCCACCCAGAGATTGTCTGTGGGAAGCAGCCTCACCCCTTCTGGGCTTGTGCGTGGCGGGAACTGGAATACGGGGTGCCTGCCAACAGGGGCTGTGTCCGGGCCCCCCCCTTCCAGCCATCCAGAGGTCGCCCAGCCGGCCTCTTGTGCCTGGGGACCCTCCCATAGGCCCTGAACCCCTCAAACTTCCCTCTGAAACCGGCCAGCATGGAGGGAACCGCTCTGAGATTTTATTGATGCTTCATCAGCCGTCACTTCTGGCTTGGTTCCAGGGGCTGGCCTTGGAGGCCTGCAGTGGGCGGGCAGGGGTGAACAGTGTGCAGGGCTGCCTCCTGGCGGGGCTCAGGGACCCTGTGGGGAGCCGGGATGGAACCCAGGTTGACCACGTGCAAAGCCAGCACCCTGTTCCGTCGCTCTGGTCCTCCCAACAGAAGGTCTTGGAGGCGGCCTGGGCTGGGCCAGTGTCACCCAGATGTGGGGCGTGACCGCCAGCCCCAGGGCTCAAGTGACCTCCCCTCTGGAGATGCCTTGGGGGTCAGGGACCCCCCAGTCCCCTCCCCCACTCCCTCACATGCTGTGACCCACCCCAGGCGGTGTTTCCTCCCTGCTCTCTCAGGGCCCCCGTGGCTGGCGTGGTGCTTGGTGCAGACCTGGGGGTCCCGGGGCCCCGCGCCCGCCTTCCTGAGAGCGCGCAGGCTCTGAATGGGCTCCTTGTGCCTCGGCCGCCGAGGCGGGCAGGCCTGGGCCGCCCAGAGCTGCCAAACACAGTTGTTTGACTCGGGGTCCACTGGCCAAGTCCTTTCAGGAAAGTTCGGCCGCTCCGTCAGGATGGAGGAACGCAGGGTTCAGGCCCGTTCTCGCTGACTGGGTGGGCTCTGAGCCGGCAGGCTGGGCGGGGGTGGCCCTGGGAGGTCTGAGCCCGCCCTCGTGTCCACACACCCATGGTGCCACCCTGCACGCTGGGCCACGGGCCTGGGCTTGGCCACACAGCTAGGCCCAAGGTCAGGGAGGCACGGAGCCGGGGAAGGGGTGAGGGGACCCCCTGCCGCATCTACGCCTGGCTGGGTGGGGCCCCCCAGACCAGGACACACACAGACACACACACACACATACACAAACACTCACAGACATACACTCAGAGACAGGCACACACGGACAGACAGACACAGACACACAGACACAGGCACACAGAGACCACATTTACAGACACCCATGACACTGGCAGACACAAGCACAGACTCACCTGCACACACAGCACACACTCACAGACACAGAAACACACACCGACACACAGACACTGGCACACACACCCAAAGACATAGGTACACACACAGACACACGCACAGTCACGCAGATGCAATCACATACACACACAAACACTCGGGGCACCGGGGGTGTTTCAAGAGGGGCCGGAGTCAGCTTAGGAGTCCTGGGGTGCCCCATGGGGAAGCTTGGGGGCTTCCTGGAGGAGGCACCTGCTTGAAGTCTCAGTCCCAGGGGCCCTGACCGAGTCACCGACCTCTCCAGGGCGTACAGGCATGTGGACGGGCACCCAGCCAGGTACCTGGCCGTGCCCCGGAGATGCCAGCGCAGGGTGGGGTGGCCGCAGCTCTGCCCCCCTGGTGTGGGGTGCAGGGAGGCGCCCGCTCCTGACCAGGTGCACTGACCGCGCCTCGCCCCACGGGGACCCACTCACCCGCGTCCTCGGCCCGGGCTGCCCAGGGGCTGTGCTGGGACCTGCAAAGACCCCGCCCAGGTAGGTCTGAGTGTGTGACTGCGACTGTGTGTGGTTGTGAGAAGGCGTGAACGTGTGTGTGTGTGTGTGTGTGTGTGTGTGATTATGAGATCGAGTGTGTGTGGTCGTGTATGTGGTTTTGAGTGTGTCTGTGTGATTGTGACTGTGTATGTTTAATTGTGACTGCGTGGTTGTGACAGTGTGAATGTGTGTGACTGTGAGAATGAGTGTATGTGTGCGTGGTTGTATGTGTGGTCGTGTGTGACTGCGGGAATGTGTGAGTGTGTGTGTGTGTAGGTGTGGTCGTGTGTGTGTCTGTGCCAATTCTGGTGGAAATTCCACCCATCTCCCAAGCTCGAGGCTGTTGGGTGCCTCTCCAGAGCTGCCCCCCACCCTCCCGGCCACGGGACAGGGCGTGTCATAGGACGCAGGGCGCACAGCAGGGACACGGGCTGGCAGGCCTTGATGAGATGTGCCGACTGACACATCACACCAGGCCCACGGTAGCACACACGTACTGACCAGCCCGGGCCGGCTTCGAGGCCAAGTCCCCTGTGGTGTCAGCATGATGCCCTAGGGGCCAGTGGGGACCCGTCACCCCCGCAAAGGCTGTGCCCCTGGGTGTGAGCAGGATGGGATTCCGGTGGTGCTGTCTGGGCTTCCCAGGGCACAGAGGGAGGCGCTGGGCTGGACCCAGGCCGGCCCCGCTGCCCCTTCCGGGAGCCGCGAGCCTCGATGGGAGGGTCCTGCGACAGCCCCATGCCATCAGTGCCACCTGGATGAGGCTGCCCGCCTGGCCGGCTCTGGGGTGCGCCCACTCTCCTTGGGCAGCTCTGCCCCTAGTCATGTCGCCCTGGACCCCTGCCCTCTGGGTCACACTCGGGAACGAGGGCGACGGGCGCCGACTCCCCATTCCACCGTCCCCAGCCCAGGGCCACTCCTGGGGACGCCCCGCGCACGGGCGGCTGCCCTGACCCTCCTCCTGGGGAGGGGGACAGGATGGAGGTGCCCTGGTGTCGCCTCGGGGTCTCATGTGGTCCCTGACTGACCAATGGCCTCACCCCCAGGCCCAGCGACGAGCATCACCCGGAGGTGACGGCCGACGGCCACGTGGATGACCTGGCGGCGGCCGTGGACCTGCTGCTGAAACACGCGGCCCAGTGAGCGGCGGCCCCGCCTGCACCCTGTGCCCCGGCCGGGGGGCTGCCAGGTGCTTCCTGCAAGCCCGCTCCTGGCGCCCGGCCCGTCTGCACACTGAGCCCCACTCGCCGTCCCCTCCCGCAGGCAGAGTCGGCTCCCGGGGGACCGCCAGTGGCCTGGAGGGGAGCGAGGCGAGCGCCTGGAGCCCTCCCCAGCCCCCAGCCCCAGCCCGATGTGAGGCGTGGAGCTAATAAAGGCGCTGACTCTGACTGGGCTGTGGGCCCGTGGGGGGTGGGGGGCCCTCCCTGTCCTTGCCCCGGCCCCCAGGACCTGCCTGCAGGATTCCAGCGCCCGAGACCCCCGTCTGGCTGAGGGCTGCTGAGTGGGGAGGGGCTCCTGGAAACCCCTCCCTGCCCTCCCCGTGGGGGCGGCCGGGCCTGTGGAGGGTTGGGACACCCTCGGGGCAGCCCCACAGGGCGGGGCCTGGGGCATCTGCGGGGCTCCTGGCTGGGTTACAGGGCATCAGCTACCCCCCATCTTCCACTGAGGGTCCCCATGGCACAGGCCCTGGGCTGGACACTGCCACCAGGTGAACCCCAATTCCAGCTGGACACACCTGTCCACTGCCCCCCCACCCCGTGTCCAGCAGAGAGGGAGCGTGGTGGCCACAGGGGGGCAGGAAAGGGAGAGGGGCCGGGGAGGGGGGCGTCCTGTGACACCTGGGTTCTGGGCTGGGAGAGGCATTGTCCTGTCCAGTGGGGGCCTGTCCATGCGAAAAGGGGGATCCTTCGGCCCCCCCGAGTGTCACAGTGGAGCTGTCCGCCCCAGCCTGGCACGGAAGGACCCGGGGGTGTGGGCTTGCCCCATGTCATGGCCAGTTGGGCTCCGAGTCCGTCACCAAGGCGTCACCATGCCGATTCTAGCAGCTTCTCTGCCCAGACGTGGCGGGAAGGGCCGACTCGTGACCTTCCACGGTGTCGGGGATGCCGCTGTGCACCCGGAAACACGGAGGTTCCCTGCCCTGCACAGCCCCCCCGGACCACCCCCCCTCACTCCCACCCCCACAGGAGAACCGTGTGGAAACCTGACCCATCTGGAAACTTCGGTTTTCTTTGTCACGTGGACTTCTTTTATTTTTCCGTGTAAAAATTCACAAAACTCCCCTGCTACAAACTTCTGGTGAACAGTAAGGCTTTCTGAGACCGGCGCCCGCACAGGACACCCCTCCCGGGGGGCCGGACCCCCACCCCGGGGAGTAAGGCAAAGGGTTGGCAGGAATGTAAACGGGGGGGGGGGGGGGGGGGGAGGGGAGGGGCCGAGGCTTCTGCAGCCACCAGCGCCTCTGCCTGTCCTGGGCCCCGACAAAAGTGAGGCTCCTTTGGTGGGGGCCGCCCTACCGGTGGGTGCGTCCCCCCCCCCACCCCCAGGGCTGGCAGGGGGAGGGGTGCGGGAGGTCCCGCTGCTTGGGGGGTGCCCCGGGTCCTCCCTCGCCAGTGCTGGGCCTTCCAGAGGACTCACGTTCCTCCCTGAGCAGAGGGCGGCCTGTGGTACGTGCCCTCCTTCGTGGTGAGGACAAGGCCACCGGTGCCAGGGGCCGCTGGCTAGTACCTCGTCCCCCCTCGAGCATCCAGCTCCGAGGCTTGTGCCTCGGGGGGACGCCCTGAGGTGCCCCGGCCCTGGAGATGGGCACGGCCCGGGGTCGGGGGGCCACGAGCAGCGCTTTGGGGCAGCCTCTCCAGGTGGACGGAAGCCCCGACCTGTGCCAGTGTGTGCCCGGCGGGATCCCCGCCAATGGCACTCAGACCGCCATGCCCAGGTTCAAGCCAGCAGGTCCCAACAGCAAGCCTGACCTGCCCGCCAGCCTGCCAGGCTGACCCCGAGGGCCGTGAGCACCTGCCAAGGCCGCCCTAGGCCCACCCCCGGCACCCTGGCCCCAGGGGACAGTGGGGGCTGGTCTGGGGCCAGCAGATGACCCCACGTGGGCGCGACAGCCTCTGACCCGGTGTGGGGCCTTGCCCGTGCCATTAAGGCCGGCAGTTCTGGGGTCACTAGAAGCAGGGGAGAGGTGGGGGGCAGGGGGTGAAGGCACGGGGTCAGTGAGTGACCTGAGCAGGAGGCTGAGGGGCCGCGCGCCCCGACGGAGCCCCACCGTCGAGTGCCCGCTGGGGTCCGGGTGTCCCCGAGCCGAGGGCCCCTGCAGTGCTGGTGAGAGTGGGCGCCCCGAGGCGCAGGCTGGCCGGCATCCTCCCGCGAGGAGCGCCCGGGGCCCCCTCAGTTCTGCTCGATCTGCTCGATGTCCAGCTCGCCGTCCAGGGAGCAGGGGCTGCCCCCGGCGGCCGCGCGGTCCCGCCAGGCCGTGGCCGTCTCCCACCTCTGGCCACAGCCATCGTCCAGGGGGCCGCTGTCCGTCTCCTCCCAGCACAGCTCCTCCCGGCAGGCCAGGGGGTCGTCGAAGGATGGGGGGGGCGGCGGCTCGGGCACGGGGGTCCCCGCTGGGGTCCTGCCTCCAGGGCCCGAGGCTGAGAGCAAAGCGGTCCAGGCGCGGGGGCCACCGACGTCCACGCCCACCACTCCCAGGCTGCTGAGGCTACTGAACGTCTGGCAGTTCTGCGGGAGAGAGAGGGGGAGGGTCAGTGCGTGCCATGACCCTGGGTGGTCCCACCCCAGACCCCTGACCAAGGGACCCCCAGAAAGGCAGATCCCACCCCCCACGGGCCTCCTGGCAGGGTACGAGCTGCCTGCAGAGGCGGGATCGAGCCCACACTGCCCCAGCCCACCCCGACTCAGAGCTGAGTAGGACCCACTCTCCAACGCACCCCACCACGACACCGACTACTGGGGGTCTGTGTGTCCCCCCCCCAGTCACGCAAGTCCAGCTCTGGGAAGCAGTGATCACAGCAAGGGGCCTGCACTGACCCCCCCAGAATGTCACGGAATTGCAGAGCGCCAAGAACTTATTCCTGGCACCAGGCTGGGCTTCTGGAGCTGGTGCCCAGTGGACAAAGGGAGGGGGGTCCCTGGTGGGGGCTTGGCACAGGGACCATCGGGGGCATCCACGCCACCCCAGAGGGCCCTGCGGCCAGACGCTGAGCTGGGAACACCGGGAAGGGGTCAGGCCTTGGCCATGCCATACGGGGGTCTGGGTGTTCAGCTGAAGAAGCAAACGTGAGGGTGCGTGTGTGCTGCAGAGGGAGGCCGGGGGTCCCACCCACCAACCCCCACCACCCTGGGCTCCTCGAGCACCAAACGGCACTTTCCACCGCTGAGGGCCGGGAATCTGGCTTATGCCACGCGGTTTGGAAATGACTTTAGCACCGAGTCGAAAATGCGTGTCACACACGGCCCAGGGAGGGCTGGGGAAGGGGTCCCGGAAGAAGGGGCTCCTGACTGCTGCAGGGCTGTGAGGCCCCACCCACCCTGGGGGCTGGTACGGCCGTTGTTCCCTCCGCTGTCACCCACACTGGCTCCCTGCAAACAAGGCCTGTCCCGAGGGGGGAGCTGTCAGTGGGGGGCACGTGGGTGTCGCTGAGGAAGGCCCCAGGATCCCAGGGCATGGCTGACCCCACTGGAAGTCCCCTGGGGTGGGCGGGTGTCCTGTGGGGCCACCCCTGTGGGTGTCAGCTGTCCTACGGGGGGTCCTGAGGGGGTGCATTCCGCCCACCCACAACCCCACGTGGCCGACACAGATGGGATCCAAGTGTCACACGAGGGACTCCCTCCCAGTCTGGCAAAGAGGATTCCCTCCCGGCACACCACATGAAACATGAAGGCGAACAAACAACGGCTTATCTGCCCCACAGGCCTCAGCTCGGAAAATTCCAGAAACCAGCAGCTGCCCTGGCAGTGGCTAAGAGTCCCCCTCTCCCCCCCTAAGCAGGGGGCCCTGCAGAGCTCCGGCCTCGCTCCCCAGCCCCTCAAATCCACGAGGGGGCCCTGCCTCCCCCAGGCCGGGGAACAACCCCTCCAGAACTCGTTGCCAGAGCTTCAGCCCCGCACCAAACGGGCCGGACCGCTCCGGTTCTGGGCATCCTAGAGGCTGGCCAGCACGTGCCCCGCTGCCCCCTCTAAGCCCCTCACCCCTGGCGTCCTGAGCATGGGATCCAGGTCCCCTGCACCCCAGGTCCTGCTTCCCACAGGGCACCTTGGGGGTATCCTGCGGGCTTGGCCCATCTCCAACACCGGAGACCCGCTGTCCCCACTGCCCCAAGGCCAGCTGACCAGGCCCAGGACACCAAAGCCAGCTGACCAGACCCACCGCCCCCGAGCCAGCTGACCGGTGCGCCCTCCCCCAGCGACCCCGCTGAATGCCCTTTGGGGGCCTCTGGGGGGGGTGGACTCTCTGCTGCCCCGGGGTCCAGGGGGAGCCCAGCGCCCGCAGGCAGGACCCCAGGGTGCAGGGCCCCGCGTGGGTCCCCCCAGCCAGGAAGCCCGGGGCTGAGCGGCGGCGGCGGCCAGCGGGCTCCACCAGCATGTCCCGGCATGCCCGGGCAGGGCGGGTGGCCGCGGCCGTGCCTGCTGGCAGCGGGGGTGGGAGGACATTCCTGGGCGCCCCGCCCGCAGCACGGGGGCAAATGCTGGGGACCAGCCCGCGGGCTGGCACCGGCGCTTCCGGGACCCGCGGGGCGGGGCGGGCGCCGTGGGCGGGGCCAGCGCGGGGGCGGGGGCGGGCGCCGTGGGCGGGGCCTGCGCTGTGGGCGTGGCCGGGGCGGGCGGGAACGAGGGGCGGAGCCTACGCCGGGGAGGGAGGTGTCGGCGCCGTGGGCGGGGCCAGCTCTGTGGGCGGAGCCAGCGCTGGGCGAGGCGGCGCGAGGGGCGGAGCTAGCGCCGTGGGCGGGGCCCGCGCCGGCGCAGGCTCTAGCAGGGCACCCCGGGGACCCGGCGCACCCTCGCTCTAGGCCCGCCTCCAGCGCAAGGGGCGCTGCTCCTGGCCGCGCGGACGCCCGGGTGCCGGGTGGGCGGAGGCGCGGGAGAGGCGCTCTGTTCTCCACCAGGCCCAGGGCAGGCGCTGCGGAGTCGGGTCCGAAGGGGCAGCGCTGCGGGTGCAGGAGGCCCCGCGGGATCCGGGGACCCAGCCCCCACCCAGACCCCAGCCGGGACCAGTCACAGGCCCTCCGGGGCCCCTGTGCGGCCTTTTCCCTCCCGCACGCGGACAGACACGTGTCTGCACGTCACACAGGCACGCCCTGGTGCTCACACACACCCACACACAGGCACTGCCACACCACGCGGGGGGCCAGCACACCGCACACGCCCGGACTTCCTTGCTCACATGCTCGTGTCGCATGCACACGAGTGCCCACCTCACGTGCCACCCCTCCTCGGCGCACACGGGCACACGCTTCAAATCAAACCCATGCTCACAAGCCCAGTGCTCACGGCTCACATGAACGCACACACGCGTGCCCACATCACTCAACACACACACGTGTGTGCACACCCGTGTCCAACGCATCACTCATGCATGCACACATGTCCACACACTGCTGACACACGCCTGATGACACGTGTGCCCAGAGGCAGCTGAGAAGAGCCAGTTGCCCCCGCCCCCCTTCCTGTAGGACCCGAGCTAGAGGCCAGTCACTGCCCACCCCTGGGGGCAGGCATGAAGCAGCACCCTCTCCCTGAGGGTCATGGCCAGCTGTGGCCTGGGGCTCTGAGGCAGACAGAGCTGGACCACGGGGCAGGGTGGGGGGGAGGGTGCCCAGAGACAGGTGGCAGGGGCAGGGGTGGGGGGGTGGTGGGCACAAGGTCTGCAGGTGCAGACAAAGGGGCAAGGCCCAGAACACAGGGCGGAGACAGATGGAAAAGGAAGTGGGTGTGGGCACAGATGCCAACAGGAAATCGGCGAGTATGCCGATGCAGAGGGGAGCCCACAGCACACCCCCGCCCATCCTCCTGCCCCTGCAAGCACCGGGCACCCCAGTTTCGGGAAGGAAGCAGGAAACTTCTTGGCTCTGGAACCATGGTGGAAAATACCCTGTTGGAGGGCAGAAGGCTGGGCGGGGTACTAACTGCTCCCCAGTGGGTGCCTGGTACCCAGAACCTCAAGGACGGGGAGGCGAGGTGGGTTTTGCATCCATCAGCCCTGCCTGGGCTGGGCCATCCCGAGCGGAGAGGCTGCGTCCAGGCGGCAGTGACCTCAGCTCCCCTGACAGACCTGCTCCCGGGACGGGCAACAGGTCGCCTAGAGCCACGGGCCCCGAGCCCGGGGGACAGAGCAGTGTCACCAAGCAGGGGCACTGGGAGGTGGGTACGTGGGCCGGGGCGCGGCGGTGCGAGGGGGGGCGGGCACAGATTCCCCCAGTAGGTGCCACAATGGGCCCTTGGGGTCACCAGCCAAGGTCAGCTGGCGCCAGCCTGGGGCCCTGCAGACACATACATCAGGCCTGAACTCAGGTCCCTGCAGTCGGAGACGTGGAGCTTCGGGGGACCCACGGCGCCCGTTCTCAAGGCTGGGTGACACCCCCGCCCCAATCACTGACAAATGCCAGCACCCGGGTCTCTGCAGACGCCTCTCCCCTGTCCTCACTGTTCTGGGCCGACCAGCACCCTGTGACCCCACAGATGGGGCGTGGTGGAGCGGCACAGGGACAGACAGTGGAGGGCAGGGGGCACCGTCCAGCACCCATCTGCCTCACGTGGGGCAGCTCCTCTGCCCCTGTCAGGACATGCAGGGTGTGGTCCCACCTCTGCGGGAAAGGGTGTGTTCAGGACCCCCGAGCCTGGCTGCACACCCCAAGCCCCTGCGACCTGGACACCAGGCAGGGGGGGCCCCATCTGTCAGGACAAAGAGCCCGTGGGCCTGGGAGGGCAAGTGCCCAGGACCTGGCACTCCGGGACAGCTGCAAGGTGGGGAGGGCCGGGGAGGGCCTGGCCACTGCACTCCCGCATGCAGCCCGACTGACCATCCTCGCCAGCTGACCCAGGGACACGCACACATGCCCTGACCCACCGTGCCACGTCCCCCCAGTGGAGCCAGAGTTTATTCTTAGGCACGTGATCACAGGCGGCGAGAGGAGTCTGAGACCCTGTCTCACGCCCGGGGGGAAGCACCAAGGAGCCGCCAACACGGTGAGGCCGAACCCCGCCGGAAGCTGCAGCCAAGAGTGTCCTGAGAGGCAGAAGCTGGGGGCCACCGCGGGATGGGCCTGTCCCACCCTGTCTCGGAGCACCGGGCCCCGCCGCAGAGCCATGTGTGCCTTGTGCCAGAGTAAGCGGGGATGGTGGTGACGGTGATTCCTGGGATGGTGAAGATGGTAGCGTCGGTGGGGAGGGGGGTGATGGTGACCATGGAGGCAGCAGGGGTCATGGGGACGGGGGGTGAAGATAAGGGCCTTGGGAATGACGACAGCAGAGATGGGCTGACGTGACGCTGGCCACGGGGCCAGTCGTGCCTGATATGTGCCTTGGCCTAATGTGAGTTTCACGCCAACTCTTATCACCAAACCCATTTTCTGGTAAACTGAGTCTCAGAGTGGTTCCCTGTTAAGAGAAAGAAGTGAATGCCGCCCCCTCCCTGGAGGAGAAAAACGGTGCAGGCATGAGCTTCGGGGCTCTGGCTTGAGGGGCAGCGTGGCGAGGTGTCCCCACCTCATCAGGAAAGTCCTCTGCAAAGCGAGACGGGGGTGGGGTGGGGTCACGGCCCAACAGGCAGCCCCCGCCCCGTCACTCCCACCCGGCCTGCACCCAACGGGCCCCAAAGACACACACTGGCGGCTGGACGCGGCCCCTCCAGGATGAGGAGTGAGCAGGGGCCAGGACGAGTCTGGGGAACGGACTCCTCACGGAACCTTCTGGCACCCCGATCGGGCAGGGCGGTGTGGGACCTCAGGGCGAGTCCTGAATGAGCCTGGGCCGCAGGGTGGGGAACCGCTGGGCGGGGGGACACGGGCCTTCCCAGGGCCACGGCCCCCAAAGGAGGCGGCGTGCTTGGGGGACACTGCGGAAACACCCAGCTCCGTGAGGGGGACATGCCACAACTTCTTCTGAGTAAACCGAGTTCAGCAGCCTGCCGTCAGCATCAGCCAGCCCAGGGTCGCACGCCGAGGGCAGGACGTGTATCTGCCCAGGCCCAGCAGGAGACCGTGTCAGAGAGGGGCTCGGCTCAGAGTCCCCACGAGTCCCGCCCGGCCGCACAGGCCAGAGCTTCTTGGACGTCACCGTGTGTCACTTTCTTCTTTCCTGCCTCCTCCACTTGGGAGTTCAGGGCCGTCCTGTGGCTGCCACCGGACGTGGGTTGAGTGTGTCCGACCCCCCAGAGCCTGCAGTGCCCACAGGGCAGGGGGAGGAGTCTAGGCCATCTCGGGTCCCACATCAGAGGGTCCTGGAGGAAGGATTTACTCCTGTCTGTCTCGGCCTTTCCTGGTCGTGCTTTCTGCCCTCTGGAGAGCGTCGTCCTCCATGGCCGTCCAGCGATCGTGTCCGAGCTCTGTTGGCGTGCAGAGGGGAGGCTCCCACCCGGACACGCTCATCTTACTCCACCCAGGGCCCTGCTCCGTTGCGGTGGCCGAGCCGGACCCATGCCTGGAATTCACCTGGGTCACGCTCCGGCCCCCACCGCTCTGACAGCATGATGAGGTCAGGCGAGCTGGAGGGATGTCCCTGACCTCATCCTGCTTGGGCAGCACGGGCAGAGAGGCCGCCATGCCCGCAAGTCCCGCCTGCGTTTCTTACTGAGACCCTGAGACACACACCTTCCCGGGACTCTCCCCTCCCCTCCCTGAGAGGAATGAACTCTCTTCCCCACACCAGCCACCCAGGTCCGTGGGTGCTCCAGGTGCCGTGGGCACTCCAGGTGCCGAGTGCTCCAGGTGCTGTGGGTGCTCCATGTGCCCTGAGTGCTCCAGATGTCCTGAGTGCTCCAGCTGCCATGGGTGCTCCAGGTGCCCTGAGTGCTCCAGGTGCCGTGGGTGCTCCATGTACTGAATGCTCCAGGTGCTGTGGGTGCTCCATGTGCTGAATGCTCCAGGTGCTGTGGGTGCTCCATGTGCTGAGTGCTCCAGGTGCCATGGGTGCTACATGTGCTGAGTGCTCCAGGTGCCGTGGGTGCTCCAGGTGCTGTGGGTGCTCCATGTGCCCTGAGTGCTCCAGATGCCCTGAGTGCTCCAGTTGCCATGGGTGCTCCAGGTGCCCTGAGTGCTCCAGGTGCCATGGGTGCTCCAGGTGCTATGGGTGCTCCAGGTGCAGTGGGTGCTCCAGGTGCCCTGAGTTCTCCAGTTGCTATGGGTACTCCATGTGCTGAGTGCTCCAGGTGCCATGGGTGCTCCAGGTGCCGTGGGTACTCCAGGTGCTCCCGGTGCCCAGATTTGCTCTCCATCACACACCCGAGGGCTCCGAGGCCTGAGAGCGAGTCGAGGCCAGACCGGCAGGGACAGTGGTGGGTGGGCACTCACGGAGTCCTGGGTCTCTGCTGCCTCCTCTACAGCTGCTGCCCACCACGTGGCCACTGAGGGTCCCGCCACCCCGGCAGTGCTCAGCCCTGCTCGCGTGCTCCCCTGTATCTGCCGTGGATTCTCGGGGCTCCCAGGTTCGAAGGGCGCTGGGGGGTCAGCTTCAGCCTTCAGAGCCCCTGGACTCAGCGTCTCCACCTGGGAGCTCAGAGACCCCCCTGGGGCCTGCCCTGCGCGAGTCCTGGGGGCCGTCAGGTACAGATGGACCCTGTGGCTCCCAGCTCCTGCCTCGGACAAAGCTCTCGGGCAGCAGGAGGCCACGCAGAGTCGGGAGGCCGGGGAGTGGCTGGAGCGGCCCAGACTCCCCCTCACCCGGCCCATGTGAGCACCAACGACCGGGCACACAGCACTCAGGGACCCGGGGTCTGGCCACTGGGACCGGGACAGGCACGAGGCTGTTGCCCCTGCCCAGGAAGCAGGTGTGTCCTCCCCGCAGTGCCCCTCGGCCAGACCCAGGCCAGCGCGTGGCCGGGGGCAGCAGGATGACGCTGGCCCTGCTGCTGGCCCTGACTCAGACCCTGAGGCTGGGGGCTCCCGCCGGGCCCTGACTCTAATCGCCGAGGCCTGGAGCCAGGAGGCCGGGACCCTGCCTGTCGGACACCTCCCGGCTCACAAGGGCTCAGGAGTGAGGTGGAAAGTCACAGGCAGTCGCGAGTCCCCAGGCTCCTGCCGCGCCTCTCCCGGGGACCAGCGCTGTTGTGTCAACAGCCGGCCCCAGCCGCGACCTTCCTGCCGCTGACACAACCCACGGCACCTGGGGAGGCCAAGGGGGGTCTGGGTGCCTTTGGGGGCTCCCGCCAGGGGCGAGACTCAATCAGGGCCGCTGTCCCGGGACGGACAGACGCACAGAGCAGAGCCCGGCTCCAGGCTGCGCACTGCTGCCCTCGCGTTGACCTCCCTGGGTGCTGATCTAGGAGCCTGGTCTCGGGGCACGGTCTCGGGGGACGGTTCCGGGGCTGCCTGCACCAGCCGCAGGCCCGAGTCCTCGCGAGACAGCACCAGACAGACCAGACTCGTCCCCCACCTGCCGCCAACAGGCAGCTCTGACGGCGCCCACCCCCACCCCCCGCCCCACACCTGGACACCGAGGTCGGGAGAGCCGGGATGGGCCCCATCAGGACCCGGGAGAACTTGGGCTACCGCAGAGAGGCCCGTCCATCTGCAATGGCCCTCGGGTGGGGAGCCCAGGACGGGGGCTGTAGTAGCCCTTGGACCAAAGTGGCAGAAAAGTCTGCACTCGGGCCAGGCGAGTGGCCACCACACCAGGCACCAGACTTGCTCTGAGGGACACGAGAGACAGGAGGGGCAGCAAGGGGGGAGAGTCTATCACAGACACACCAGGCCGGGTTGCACGGGCCGTACTGAGCACCCGCCTGACTGCCTTCATGGACAGTGCTGAGCCCATCTGACCACCTGCAAGGTTAGTACTGTGTGTCCGCCTGACCCTGCATGGGGAGTACTGAGTACCTGCCTGACACCTGCAAGGTTAGTACTGAATGCCTGCCTGACCACTAGCAGGGGCAGTACTGAGTGCCCACCTGACCCCACATGGGCAGTACTGAGTGTCCGCCTGACCCTGCACAGGCAGTACTGAGTGTCCATCTGACTCCGCACGGCAGTACTGAATGCCTGCCTGACACCTGCAAGGTTAGTACTGAATGCCTGCCTGTCCACCGGTAGGGGCAGTGCTGAGTGCCCGCCTGACCCCACACGAGCATACTGAGTGTCCGCCTGGCCGCCCGCAAGGCCCAGGGGCTCCCATGGGTCCCTCTGCACAGGGCCAGGACTCGCCGGGACCTGCGTGAACCCACGTGCTCAGGGCACTGACCCACACGGATCGGCCCGCACAGGGCCATGGACTGTGCATGGAGCCCCCCAGGTGCAAGGACCAGCCCGCAGGGGCCCACCTGCCCAGGGGAACGAGGTGTGTGACTTAGGGCCTCAATGACCCGTGACACGAGGACCCTCGGGGAGGCAGGCACTGGCCCCGTTTCTCAGCAAGTGACAACCCCAGGTGACATGCCTGCACCCCACCCCGGCCCTGCAGCTCTCAAACCACCACCAGTGGCCCTGCTCTGGGGGTCAGCATGAGCCCAGCGGTGTGCCGGGGAACGGGGACCCCCCCTCGTGCCCAGCACAAAAGGAGCATTTCTGGGCCTCGGTGGAGGGGACGCTTGTGCCGACCGCGGACGGCCATCCCCCGAGCCCCACCCGGCGCCGCCCAGGCTTACCTGGGCCATCTTGGCCAGGTCCAGCGACGGCCGCGGCTCCAGAGCCTCGTCGGGGCGTCTCCGCTTGACGCCCGCCTTCCTGTCGTTGAGGACGCAGGGCTGCGAGCGGCTGCGGGCCAGCCCGCTGGGGCGGCGGGCCAGCTCGGGCGTGGAGGCGGGGGTGCTGCTGGCCGAGGGGGGCCCGTCCCCCGCGAAGGAGAAGCGGTCGTGCGAGCAGGACAGGGAGCGCTGCAGGTCCAGCCGGCCGCCGGCCGGGGGGCTCCAGGGCGCCGCGCTCGGGGGGCCGGGCCGGGCGGGGACGGGCGCGGGGGGCGCGGGGGCCTCGGGCCGCGAGGGCAGGCTGAAGCTGGAGCTGCGCTGCATGGGGCTGCCGCCCCCCGAGAAGCGCTGGACGCTGCCCCCGCTGTAGCAGCGTCGCTTCTCCACCGGCGTCCACACCCGCGAGCCCAGCGGCCGCCAGGACGTCCGGCAGCCGGACAGTTCGTCCGAGAAGGACAGGGAGCGGCAGGGACGCTTGCTGGGGGGCGCCGCGGGGCTCCCGCTGGGGTCGCTGAGGCTAAGGTCCTGGATGAGGCTGGTCACGGCGCAGGCGGCGGCGGCGGCGGCCTCCCGGGGCCACAGGGCGCTGTCCGGGCAGCCCTCGGGGAAGCCCTCCCAGAGGCGGGCGCTCGGCTGCTCCGTCTGCAGCGGGCACTTCCTGTCCAGGTCGCGCCACCTGCCGTTCTCTGGGTGGCGAAGGACAGAGAGACACGGGGTTGGCGGGGGTGGGCGCTCGGCCCCTCCGAAACCAGCCCACGCGGCGGGGACCCCGGTGGGACCCTCACTCCTGAACGTGCTGCACCGGCCGGTCCATTCTGGCCTCTTAACCGAGATGGACGAGCCGGTGCCCAGACCCTCGTCACACAAGCAGCATTTATTCGCTCAGAATCCGTCTGCATGCCCACGCTAGCCCCCATTCTTTTCTAGACGCTTCCATGCGATAGGTGTGAGCAGCTGAGAGTTTGGTCAGCAGGTAACGAGTCAGACAAAAAAGCGGCACTAGCCCACGGCCAGTTCCCGCCGACCCCACGCCTGACTTAGGAAGGGAAAGGCCATGTGGTGTCCACTCCCCAAGAGAAGGCCAGCAGGACCCCCACGCTGCGAGACCCCCACGCTGCGGGACCCCCATGCTGAGACCCCCACCCAACGGGACCTCCACCATGGGACCCCCACCCTGCGGGACCCCTACCCGGCGGGACCCCTACGCTGCGAGACCCCTACCCGGCGGGACCCCCACCCTGCAGAACTCCCACCCTGAGGGACCCTCACCCTGTGGGACCCCTACCCGGTGGGACCCCTATGCTGCGAGACCCCCATCCGGCAGGACCCCCACCCTGTGGGACCCCTACCCGGCGGGACCCCTACGCTGCGAGACCCCCACCCTGCGGGACCCCCACCCTAACAGGACCCCCCTCTACAGAGACACTCGGCATGGCCCCTCCTGTGCCGTGAGCCCCAGTGCCCAGGGCTGGAGAGGGCAGGAGGGAGCAGAGTGTCCCTGGGCCTGTGCCGTGTCCCCAGGAAGGTCCCCTCCCCCAAGGCTCAGGGGATGCTGGAGGCAGTGGAAACCCCGAGGGTGGGTGGGCTGGGGACAGCCCCAAGGCCCCTGGCTCCGAGGGGCATAGCCTGAGGGGGACCGGGGCGTCTCGTGTCCAGGCCGGCCAGCTGGCCGTGGGCTCCGCTGCCCACCGTTTCTATCTTTATCACTTCCAGAAGCCGAGCGAGCCGGGCTATGTTTAGGCCCCTGTTTCCCCTCCGAGCGCAGAGAACAGAAAGAAATTGTTGGGTCAGGTCAGCAAACAAAGGGAACAGGAACAGACGCTCATTTTTAATGGCAAACGCCCCGCGCGTCCGGCCGGCCGCAGGCTGTCCAAAGGCCTCGGAGGGGCCCGGCCGCCTGCCACATGCCCCCGCCCCTCGGCATACGGTCCTGAACAAGGAGCTGCAAAGCTCCGAGTGGCCACGGCCGCGGGTGTGGAAGGCGCCCCCAGGTCGCCTGGACGTGGCCCCCGAAGAAGCCCAAACAAACCCCGAAGTACAGCCAAGGGCCTGGCGGGGCAGCTCAGCCAGCCCACACCCAGGGCAGGAGCCTGGCCACCATCTGCCCCGACGGGCTTTGCTGGGAGGCGGGAACAAAGGCTGAGCGGGCGCCTCGGGGCACACATGCCCTGGGGAGGGCCGCCCCGGCCCACGCCAGAAGTGTGAGGGACTGTGACAGGGCCTGGCTCCACCCATGGGCGTGGGGGACAGTCGGCCCCTTTCTCCCCGGAGAAGGCCCCTCCGACCAGCAACCCCCTCCCAAGCCAGGCTGGCCGCTGAGAAGCCCAAGTGGGCAGCTCTCATGCCCCCCACCCCCACCCCAACACGCGCTGTGGCTGGAGACTCTCGGGAGGTTCTGAAACCCACGTCGGCACTCCTAGGCCCTTCAGGGTCCCTGGGCCTCTCCTCCCTGCCTGGGCAAGGGGTGTCAAGTCCACAGGGTGAGGCCGGCCCCCGCCACAGGGCTCGGAGGGGGCGTCTCCCAGAGACCCCCAGAGCTGACAGTGCAGCCCCGGCAGGTCACGGGAACCGTGAGGCAGGGACGATGATGAGGCTGAGAGGATGGAGCTGGAGGGGCCTCCCGGGGCGACAGCACAGAAGGCACAGTGCTGGGTTGGCCCCTCGGGGCGCCTGGAGCTGGCCGTGCCTCGTCCCGCTGCCTCCTGGTGACCAAGGCTGAGCGCGGCTTCTGAGACGCCCATGCCTGCAGCCCAGACTTCAAATGCACCAAAGGCTCCTCCCAGCCTCCATCTCAGCCTCTGTGAGCGCTGAGCCTCCCCGCACCTCAGACCAAACGGGGACTGTGGGGGGGTCTCCGCCTGCAGCACTGAGCCACCCACTCCCAGTGAGAACACACAGGCAGGAGGGGGGGACGGGCACCCCACCTTAGGGGAGGTGTTTGCGGGCCTAACTCACAAAGGCAGCTCGAGGATGGAGCTCTGTGTGTGTCTGTGTATGTCCGTGTGTGTGTGTGCGTGTGTGTGTGTGTGTATGTGTGTGTGTGACTGAGTCACATGAACCCTTGAAGTCACTGGGTGCTGTGAGAAAGGTGTGTGTGTGTGTGTGTGTGTGTGTGTGTGTGTGTGTGTGACTGAGTTTCTGAGTCCCTTTAAGTCACTGAGTGCTGTTGGAAAGGCTTGTGTATGAGTGTGTGTGTGTGTGTGAGAGAGAGAGAGAGAGACTGAGTCACACAGACCCTTTAAGTCACCGGCGCTGTCAGGCATGTATGTGCGTCTGTGTGTGTGTGTGTGTGTGTGTGTGTGTGTGTGTGTGTGAGAGAGAGAGAGAGAGAGAGAGAGAGAGAGAGAGAGACTGAGTGACACAAACCCTTTAAGTCACCGGGTGTTGTCGGAAAGGAGTGCCCACTGGAGGCACTGCCAGATGCCAACTTGGCCTGAGGGTGGGGTTGCCCACAGGCGCCAGGACTGGGCCCCGAGGCTGGAGGTGGCCCGGGTCAGCCTGGTCACCAGGGCCCGGGCACCCCCCTCAATACCCACACCCCTTCCATTGTGTTCTACTCCAAACGCACATTTGTCTGCCGCCCAGAAATAGGAAAGGAAACTGTGTGAAGCTTCTCTACCCAGAAGGCCCACAAGAGCGAGATGGGACCCACACGGCTGCCGCCAAGGGAACCCATAAAGGCAGCACCCACCCCCGCACCCATGCACGGCACGGGCGCAGGACTCCCGGGTGCCTGGCAGGGCGGGCAGCTGTGTGGGTTCCGCTCCAGCCACGGGCCCGTCTGTCCTGAGCCGCCTACAACGCTCCTCACCTCCGGGACCAACTTCTACTGTCCAGCCCCCGGAAGGCAAGAGACCAAGTCAGGGCGGACCCGGGCCCTGCGAGGCCAGAGCTGATTGCAGACGAGCGAATCAACGCCAAGTCGCTTACAACTAACATGCCACGACCCTGGGCTCGAGTGGCTCGGCTTGGGGCACCGTGATACTTTTCTGCTTTTTGGGTCACACCCAGTGAGGCTCAAGGGTTCCTCCTGACTCTGCACTCAGGAATCACTCCTGCTAGTGCTCGGGGGAGACCCTATGGGATGCTGGGAATCGAATCCGGGTCGGCCGCGTGCAAGGCAAACGCCCTCCCCACTGTGCTATCGCTCCAGCCCCCACTGTGATATATATATCTATTTTTTTGCTTTTGGGGTCACACCCAGCAATGCTCAAGGGTTACTCCTGGCTCTGCACTCAGGAATTACTCCTGGCGGTGCTTGGGGGACCCTATGGGATGCTGGGAATCGAACCCAGGTCGGCCGCGTGCAAAGCAAACGCCCTCCCCGCTGTGCTATCGCTCCGGCCCCCACCGTGATATTTTTACAATTCCCTTTTAGACACTAGGGATGTTCCCTCTGCTCCAAGAGGTCTCTGTGTTTCTTGCCCGGGAAATAATTGACGTTAATAATAGTTTATTACCGCAACTCCCCGAGTCTTCCCAGGGCTCCAGCCCTCCACCCTTGCTTTAGTTTACATCGGATCTGTCTGCTCCTATGGCCACTTGGCCCCCGTGGCCTTCCCGACTCCTGGTCCCACATCCTCTCCGTGCCTGAGCGGGACACTGGGGGTGTTGAGACCGTGGGTCCCCTGCACCCCACAACTCACATCCTGGGTTCGGTGAGCCGGTCAGCCCCGCCAGGAGAGAAAGTGAGTGTCGAGGGCCAGTACCTGGGCAGCTCCATGGGGTGGGGGTGGGGGGGGGGGGGTTGGTCGCAGGGCAGTGGGGGTGGGTGGGAGGGAGGGGCACCTCCCCCACCTGAGTGACGTGGCTGCAACAAATCCTGTGGGCAGCCCCCAGAAATCAGAGCCAGACAGGGGCAGACTGGCCCATGGCTGGACAGGTGGCCTGGAGACCCCACGACTAGTGGGTCTGGGGCTGCCTCCGCCGTGCTGGGGGTAGGGGGTCCTTCTCCCCCAGGAGGGGAGCAGCATCTGAGCGAGCGATAGGCCCCCCTCCCGCCCTCCTCGAACACCCCAGGCCAGCGCAGCACAAGCCCCCCAGCTGTGTCAGGAGGAGCGGACACGGAGTGGCTGTGCTCAGCCCAGTGTTCTCAGCGCGGGACCCCAGGGGACAGTCGTGGGTGGGGCTGGCCGGCCAGCAGATGCCCGGTTCCCTGCGGGAGGGTTTCTGGGAGGCGAATGGCCCTGCGGGAGTCCTGAAGAAGGGCAGGGGGACCAGGACGCTGCTGCCCCCGACGGGGCCCTCCTGGTCCCCAGGCTCCGGGCCCGGAGCATAGGGCCTTTATCTCCCGCAGTCAGCCAGGGAGCCGCTACGTTATCTCTGCCCGCACCTTCAGCAATGCCTGCGGGGCGTCCACTGCCTGAGGGGGGCAAGGCCATGGGCCACAGCAGAGGGCAGGCAGCAGCCAAGTCCCTTCAAGCCCATGGTGCAGGGAGGACACAGGCCACTGGGCACAGGGCAAACTTCCCCACGAGGTAGCAGCCCCCTGGGATCCCCTCACACACCCCGGGGAAACTGAGGCCGAGACGAGGAGGCGGCTCAGAGCCAGGACTGGACTGGATGGCGGGTGAGGGCACAGGGTGGCTCTGGGCCGCAGCCTCTCCCTCCGGCACCCCCCCGGGGAGCCGTTGGACCCCGCCCTGCAGGCAAGGTCCCCAAAAGGAGCCGCGTGCACCCGCCGGCAGGTGCTGCCCTGTTCCCACTTCCTCTGGGGGCCACGCCCCGTGACCCCACCCAGGCTGGCTGGGGACGGAAGAGCCCACGGCCAGTCCCCCACACCCCCCCCAGTGTCTCTGTGTGGACAGAGCCCCCGGGCCCTGCGGAGGGTGGGGATACGGCCCTGCCCCACCGTCAGGGCGCCCAGATGCCAGGGTGGGGGCGGAGCCAGGAGCAACCGCCTGGCACCGGGCAGGGCCGGGGTGGTTTCTGCCTCAGTGCACAGGAAGCAGAGACTCGCCCGGCGTCCCCAGGGGGCAGCCGTCACGGGGGAGCGGCGAGGCGTGGAAAGGTCACGGCCCCCAATAGCAACGAGCACCGTCCCCCCGGGAGCCCGGCACACCAAGCAGCCCTCCTCCCCGGCCGCCCACGAGCCGTCCACCTGGGAGACGCCCCCGTCCCCGTCCCCGAGGCCCTGCGACTGCCCCTGAGAAGAACCAAGAGGAGAAATGCTCTGTGTCACCCCCCAGCCCCGGTGTCCGCGGTGACAAACGCGCCCCCCAAAGGGCAGCAGTGGCTCCCGGGCTCATCTTGGACTCTGTCCCCCTGAGCATCTTCGACGTGGAACAAGCCTTCTGCCCCACAGGCTGCCGCCGGGTGAAAGAGACGCCACTGGGTGCCCGCACCAGGCCCCCGGGCACCCCCCACCCCACCCCGTGCCCGCTGCCGGCCCCACTCACCCGTCACTCCGCAGGAGAAGAGCGTTGGCCCGCGGCTCATCTTCTTTGGCGTGTGCTGGAAGGAACCAAGAAAGCGGCTCACTTGCGTGGTGACCCCAGGCCAAGGGCCCCCAGCCGCTGCCGCCCGCTCAGGGGAACACAGATGCGCCGAGAGGGTCGGGGGTCCCCCCCAAGCCCGGAGAGTTGCCAGTGAGCTGGGGTGGGGGTTCTCAACAGCCCCTCACTCCTCAGCTGATGGTGCCCCGAGCAGGGAACACTCTGGGGGCTCGTCATGGGCTCTGCCCATCCGTGTACACACACACACACACACACACACACACACACACACACACACACAGGGCTGCACACACACACACACACACACACACACACACACACACACACACAGGGCTGGTTGCAGCTGATGTCACACCGCTGAGACTCACCGCAAGGGGCCCTGAAAGACAGGGCCGGGCAAGGCCACTCGGCAAGAAGCGGGCAGGGACATGTGCTGAGACGCCTGGCCGGGTCAGGGTGGGGCTGCCCGGAGCACCTGCCCCCCCCAGATAAGGGCCCTGAGCACCTGGCACCAGCTGCCTCAGGGCCCTGTGCCCGGGGCAGGCTTGGGGCTCCCCCAGCCCAGCCCAGAGGGGTCAGAGGAGCCTCTGGGCCTCCCCCGGGGCTCGCCCACCCTGCCTCAAGGCCACCTCGGGGCCCTTCCAGGCTGTCCCCAGGAGCGATCCCGGCAGGCACAGCCGGGTAGCCTGTCCACGGCCCCAAGCTTGGCCCGCAGACACTGACCGAAGCCTCCCCAGCCCAGAGCTGACCGGAGCTCATTCTTGAGGGCACATGTGAGCCCCCGGCCTGCACCGCGAGATGCGAGGAGGCCGGGACAGTGGCCGGCAGGAGGGAGACCCCGTGAGGGGCCAGCTCTGGCAAAGATGCCAGTGGACGGGGCCTACCAGGCCTGGACAGCCCCAAGCTCACGGCACACCTCTGAGGCCTAACCAGGCTGGCAAGGACCCTGGAGCCTGCCTGGGCCGCCAAGGGCTGTGTGTGGCCTTGAAGTCCAGGAAGAAAAGACCCTCAGTGGCAGGGACACGGCTCTCCGTGTCCACAGCTGCCACAGGAGCAGGGTCCCGGTGGTCGCGTGTGTGCCCACAGAAGGAAGGACAGAGCTGCTTCCGGCACCTGCTGGGGGGCCCCGGGGACCCCTGGGGTCCAGCCTGGGCGACGGGGCCAGGCCGTGTCCTGCGCGTGGGCGCAGAGAGGCCCGAGGTCAGCGTGCGGGCCGGCGGCCAGCGCCCAGCTAACGTTAGAACAGGAAAGGAAGAGCTGGTGGGCAGCTCCCGGTCTCAGCCCTACACCCAAGGACAAGGGACCAAGGGCTGCCTCCCCTCCTCCTCCTCCTCCTCCCCCTCCTCCTCCTCTTCCTTGCCCTCCTCCTCCTCCTCCTCCACAGCCGGGGAGGCGAGGAGGGGCACCCAGGCCCCCAGCAAGTGCCCTGGCCTGTCTCCAGCCCCCACCGCGCCCTGTGACCTTCCCGCCTGCCTGGGAGATACGCCGGCCCGGGCATCTCTGGGCATCTGCCACGCCCCACCCCGGCGGCTCCAGCCCCGACGCCCAGCAGCCAGGCCGGGGGAGCCTGGGTACCGGCCAGCAGAGGCTGTGCCCACGGCAGCCAGGCCAGGGAGCCCTCCCGGAGCTGCGCTGACCACGGGGGGACAGGAGAGGGGCTGCACCCCAGAGCAGCTGAGCGAGTGACCCAGAAGGGGGCATGGGAGGGCACAGGCCCCGCAGGGACAGCGCAGGAAGGTGTGATGACCACTGACCCTCCTCTCGGGGGCCCATCCCCTCCCCCAGAGCCCCTCCCCCAAATGCCCCCGTCCCCCACCTCTCCTCTCAGATCCCCCCTCGCCTTTTTTTTTCTTTTTGGGGTCACACCTAGCAATGCTCAGGGTTCCTCCTGCTGGCTCTGCACTCAGGAATCACTCCTGGCGGTGCTCGGGGGACCCTACGGGATGCTGGGGATCGAACCCGGGTCGGCCGCGTGCAAGACAAACGCCCTCCCTGCTGTGCCATCGCTCCAGCCCCTCTCAGACCCCCTTAACCTCCCCTCGCAGACCCCCACCTCACCCCTGCCCCCTCGGCCCGCACACACGGGGGCTGTGTCCGCACCCCACCCGCACCCCAGCCCATACCAGCTCGGGGGTGAGGGTCCCGCGTGCCGCGGACCCCGCCGCCCGGTTGTCGAGGCTTTTCCTCAGGATCATCACCATGGTCAGGACCTCAGGCGCTGGGCTCCACCCCGGGGTGGGCACGAGCCATCTTGGGGGGCGCACACAGGCAGAGCCAGCGCCGGCAGCTCCCCTCAGGCCCCTCGGCCTGGGCGAGGCCCTCCCTGGACACGGCTGGGCGTGGACGGCTCCCTGCAGAGACAGAAGAAAGGCACAGGGTCAGGACACGCCTGGGGGTTCCCACTCAGGGGCGTGAGGCCCCCACCTGGATCTGGACAGCTGGGACCCGGTGGTCCCAACCTGCCCTGGCTCTCCGGGAACGAAAGTGATGAGGAACCATCACAACCGACGGGGTCGACCCCAAGTCCCCCAAGGACCTCCACGGAAGCTTCGCGTCTGGACGGCTCCAAAGTGGCCATGGGCCTCTCGGCTTGGTCCTCCCCCAATAAGCCCCAAGTCCAGCTCTCAGAGTACTGTCCGGCCACGCTGAGTCCCAGGCAGGGGAGGGGCAGTCCTGCGCTCCCGCCGGGGTGGGGGGGCCGGCGTCCACCCGGATGCTCTCCTGATCTGTCAGTCCGGCCCCTCCTCGCTCAGAGCTGCCCCTCACAGCTGGAGAGAGAAGGGACCAGGGAAGGGCTGCCTCGACCACCAGCAGGGAAACGGTCCCGAATCTGCTGCCGGCGCACAGATGAATCGCACCGGTATCTGCCGCCAGCTGGGTAGCAAATCGCCTTGTGGCGGGTGTCACTGTGGGCCCATCGTGGCCAGCCGGCGCGGAAGGGAACCACCTTCCACTGTTCACCCAGAGTACTGGGGGGGGGGGGGTAAGGGGGCCACATGGCACCCAAGAGGAGGGGAAAGGAGGGTGGGCAGCCCCTGGGGTCAGAGGGCACGGGGGGGTTGGCCAAGGCCATGCCAGCACCACCTCTCTGAGCTTCTGCTGCCCGGCCCAGCCACAGGGCCCAATGACCACTGGCCACTGGGGCCTTGCGGGTGCCCGGCTGCTGGGGCCTTGCCCCTAACCCGCTTCCTCCTGCCCTCTGGCAGCGGGAGGCTCACTGCCGGCTCGGACAGGGACTCATTTATCCAGTGGGAGGACCCTCTCCTGTCCCCAGACCCCAGGTCTGAGCCTGAGCGGTAGAAGCACCACCAAGCGGGCCGGGCCACCCGGCAGCCATCGGGAAACTGGCCAGGTCAAGGCTGTTGCCACGGAAACATGCCAGCCCCCCCCCACTCCCACCCTGAGAGCTGCATCCCACGGGGGCTCCCCACAAGTGAGCCCGGGGCTCACAAGGTGGGCAGCCGACCTGCGTGCAGGGCTGGAGACACAGTCCACGGAGAAGGAGCTTGTCTCGCACAAGGCCGACCTGGGTCCGAGCCCACCAGGAGTGATCCCTGAGCACTGCCAGGCGTGGTCATGAGCTGAGATGGGACCCCGGTAGGCTCCTGGGTTCTGGGGAAGGGCCGGCTCACAGGGGTGCGGTGAGGAGGAAGGCTGAGAGAACATCCCTGCCACAGGGACCAACGTGGGCACAGGGAGGAGCAGGACACCCCAGGGGGTCACACCCACCGCACGTAGCTCAAAGCAACGCCAGACCGGGCCCCCGTCCTTACAACAAGGACAGGCGGGGGTGCAGACTTCAACCTCGCGATACACATGCAGAGAAGGGTGGTCAGGGGGCGCTGACCGCCTGCCGCGCCCGGGGGTGGGGTTGGGGGTGTCCACCTAGGAAGGACAGATAGGGAAGAGGTGGTGTGATCTGGGGGGACGGGGGGTGTCCAAGCCCAGTCACCCACAGGGGCCGGGTGATAAGGTTCTGGACCAAACCTCGGAAGCTTCTCTGGCTTCCTGACCCCTTTCCACAAAACCATCATCTGGTGCCCCCCTGAAACCCACCTCCCGTATGGACACAAACGGACGTGTCCCCCCCGTCAGATGGCACCGAGGCGGCACTGCCCGCCTTGGCAAACGCTGCTCTCAGCTGGAGGGGACAGCCCAGCGTGGGGGCTCCGGGAGGCTGTGGACTGACTCGGAACCAACCACCGTGGACGCAACGTGAATCCCATCCCGGCGTGGGGAGGGGGCAGGGAGGGGCCCCAGACCCCACACCAGGAAGGAGAAGACGAGAGAGTCCAGACCCTGCTCCCTGCACCCACCCAGGGCACCGTGTCGCCACCGGGGGGTGACCCCCACAAGGCCCAGGACCGAGCCTAGGCTGGCCTTATGCACACCAGATCCAACAACGCCCCCCTACAGACGGAGGAAGCCCCCGATCCGGCCTGCAGCCACGCTGCCCAACCACCTGGATCCCAAGTGGGTGCCCCGCGAACAGCGCCCTCCTGGTGGGTGGCCTCACCACCGTGAGGGGCCTAAAGTGTTCCCTACACACATATCTCCTCATTTGCTTAGTACTGTCACACACTCCCACAGACACACCATCACACACAGCCACGCAGTCATGCTGTTTCACACTCACACACAGCCGTACGCTTAATCACACACACAGGCACACACACTCTCACCAAGTATCACACTCTCCGCCACACACACTCAATCACACGCTCACACGCTCACGTACTCACATGCGTCAGACACACACAGACTGGTCATACACCCCCACACTCGGTCACTCACATGGCCCAGGGTCAGTCACGGTCTCAGCCCAGCTCAGGGCAGCTCTGTCCGCGGCCCGCCCTTCCCCGTCCCCGGTGCCGCTGTGTGTGTGCCCTTGTCGGCGGTTCTAGCGCCTCCCAAGCCCGTCAGACAGACGCATCAGGCTGGGGGAAACTGAGGCCCAGGGCAGGGCTGTACCTGCTGGCCGGGTGCCGCTCCAGCCCCCAGACCTGCCGGCCACCACCGCCCCCACCACCCAGCCAGTGGCTGTGCAGCCTGGAGGACAGCTCCGAGGAGGCGGGCTCCCAGGCGCAGGCCAGCGCTAGGGAAGTGGCCGGAGACAGGGCCCCACTCTCAGCCCTGGGACTTCCCTAACGCCACCCCTGGCCGGACCCCATTTTAACCATTTCCTATTGCTTTCTTGGCCTGCGTTTGCAGAAGTAAGGGAGCTGTCCCCGGGGGGAGGTGACGAAACAGGGACGGCCGCCAAGCAGGCGGGGCACCCGCACGGACCAAGCACGCCGCTGCCCAGGCAGGGCTGTCCGGCCGCCGCTCAGGACACGTCCCCCTCCGCACCAGGGTGACTGCGGGAAGGACGAGGGAGAAGGGGCCCGGGTGGGCGGGCAGCCACAGGGTCCCGCGACTCTAAGGGGCTCGGAGGTGCTGGCCTCGTGCCCACCCAGAAGGCAAATCTGGGGGTGCCCTCTGCCTCTCCCTGCCCGATCCGTGACCTGTGACCTGTGACCCCGAACCCCTGCCCCACGGCCCCTCCTGCCCTCTCAAGCCCACTTCCAGCGTGTGGGGGCCTCTCCTGGCCCATGTGGTCAGGCTCGGGGGCACCTGTCGCTGGAACATGGCGGGGGGGGGGCCATCGGAGAACACTCGGGTGCTGGAGCCGGAGGTCCTCTCCGTCCCCTGGCCGGTGCCTACTGAGGAGACGGAGCTCCGAGGGGCAGAAAGCCCATCCCCGGGGCTGGAGTGGGGGGGGGGGGGGGACTCTTTGGTGCTACGGAATAAAGAGCCCGAGGTCCACAGGAGGACACAGGGCTGGAGACCCCTTGGGCCCGGGCCAGTGGGCCACACTGCTCGCTGGCCTCCGCAGACGGTCCAGGGGGCCCGGACAATCCTAACATGTGGCTGTGCCAAGGTCCTGGGGCCAGCCTGTGAGGGCGTCAGACAGGCACAGCCCCCAGGAATCCCCGATGGCCCTACGGACCACACCAAGAGGCCCACAAGCGCCAGGACAGGGGTCCTGGATGAGCATGTGCCCACCAGCAGGGTCAGCTGGCCAGGCCAGAGGCCCCAGGGACCTCCTCAGCCAGCCGTCACCCCACCTGCGAGCCTCACTCCCCAGAGTCAAGCGCGGGGAGCCAGGGACATCACAGGGCCCCACCTGCAGGCCAGAGGCTCCTGGTGCCCCCAGCCCCACGGTATCAGCCCTCGCCGGGGGACAGCCAGGGGGACACACACAAACGCATCATCTCCCAGCTCAGGCCTCTCCCACAGGTGGTCAGTGATGGTCAGTGGCACCGTCTGAATCGGCGTCTCCCAGGACCCAGGAGCGTGGTCATGGTCTTCTTCCTTCCTACCCCCTCCTGCAGATGCTAGCCCTGTCCCGGGGGGCTGGGGGCGGACCCCCGGCCTGGAGGCGTCGGTGGGAACCACACCCCAAACCCCCGACACCACAAATACCATCACACGCCCCCACAACACACACATAACCACACACACTCCAGGCCCTTCCACCCGCCGCAGACATCGCACTCAGACCCACAGACACGGCACACGCCCGACCCCACCTGTGCGTACAGTTCCATGGGGACACAGCGACCGCGGGACCCTTAGTAATGCAGGGGCCTGGCTCAGGGTCTGAGCATCACGCTGGGGGGGGCTCCGAGAGCAGGGCCAGGAGACGGGTGCCCCCGGGCTCCACTCAGCCGGACCCCCCTTCCCTCAGACGCAAGGGTCCCAGGTACAGCCTCGCGCCCAGCCCAGACCCTGCCCGGGGCAGGACAGAACTCCCAGGGTGCAGGGACACAAAGGGACCCCAGAGCCCGTGCCCGGAAGTCAGGGAGAGCCAACACCAGCGGGGCTGCGGGCCCCACCGACGGCACCCCCTGCAGACCTGGTCGAGGGGTGCAGGCCGGGCCAGACAGCCGCGCCAGGCGCCAGACGGGTTTTTCGTTCCCCCGCCAGGGCAGGGCACCCCATCTGCACGGGGCCTCCACTTCCTTCTGAGCCCTCCAGCGAGAGCGGAAATGACTCGGCGGACGGCACCACAGTGAGATGCACCCAGGGAAGGCTGCTGGCCTCTTCCAGAATTTTCCATGAGGGTCCCGGGGGTGGTGGGGTGGGTGGAAGGGAGATTGTGGGCGGCCCAAGAGAGCTGAGCCGGATCCAAGGACAGCACAGCCCGGCCTCAGGGCCAGGCCCCGGAACGTTCCCTCTGCCATCTGGCACCCCACACCCCAAAGCCACACGCCAGCCACAGCCGCAGGGACCACACCGGGGACTGTCACGTGTGGTCCCCACCCACAGGGCGAGCAGAGCCAGATCTGGACCGCAGCCCTGTCCTAAC